AAGTCGCTCAGGGGTGAATGGATTAAGAAGGTAGTGTTGTTGAAGATTAGTTGTCCTTCCCTCTCTTACAAGTATTGTTTGGATAGAGCGATTTTCTTATGACCTTGAAATCAAAACGCGCACACGAACCAGAAACAACAAACGAACGAAAATAGGGCAACTTGATTGGAGTGTCAAACGGATCGAAACACCCGTGGCTTTTGGTTGGTTAAGCGAACACTCGGATGAAAAAACTTCATGTCCCAGAACTTTCTAGAAATCAATTGATACTTCGCTTTGACGTGATACTGCAACACGATTGGCCAATCGAACAATGCCTTCTCCATATTAGGGTTTTCTTTGGCGGGAAAATGAAGAGTACATGTTTTGATCTTTTCATTCATTGGCTGATAAAACAAATAACGTCCAAAAATAACATCCAAAACCATTTTTCAAGGTCATACGAAAATCCCTCTATTACTTCTTCTCAACCTCCCTCCCCAAAAACTGTTGAGTGAAAAAAGGTGTAAGTGCATGGCATTAATCCATTTGGGGAGGAGGAGAGTGCTAACTTTGTTATAAAAGTGCTTTTTCACTATGTTTGTTAGCTGGATTTCTCGGCATTGACCATCATATAATAATAATATGAATGCAGAACTGTTGTTGCCACCTTAACCTATCACCTCTGAGCCAGTCATAACCGCCCATGCAGATACAGGGGCCTGTTTCTTGAAAGTTCTAGAAACTTTTGAAATATTCAGGCTCACTTGACCAGAAAATTTTAATGAAAATCTTCATCCACTATCAACCTGCACTAAATTCCATCCAATACTGCAATCCTAAAAGTTTTTCCAAAACCTTCTCCCACTGAAATGAAGCCTATAGTGAATGAACAGTAAAAAAAAAAGCAAAAGAAGAAGAGAATTTTGCACATGCCTAAACTTCCAAAGCTGATATTTAGCATCAGAAACAAAATTCTTCTGAATTATGCAGATGCAATCAAGTTAAAGAGTGCTAATTAAGATAAAGACAGAAAAAATAATATTGCCACCATTTTGGAATCAATCAGTGTAAAATGCAGACTGTCGACTATTGTTTTCAGCATGCAAATGAGTACATGATAAAAATAGTTCCATTGTTTTCGAACCCTAAAAACAATAGTCTACAGTCAGTGTGCAGTCTGCATTTTTCACTGCCCCTTTTGGAATTTAATTAAAGTGCAAGTTTATGCAAATGCAGCGTTAGAGGAAAAGAGAATCAGGAAATCAAAAACAAATCAGCGAATTACTTACCCAAGCAGAGAATGCATGGCTGATACAAACAAGGTTCTGAGGCGAAATCTTACAGCATCTGCTCTCTGCACACAATGAAAAAAACGAAAAAAGCACGCATTACGTAATTAACTTAAACTCCTTGTCAGCAGGACCAAAAACATTAATTAAATTGATCTGCTGCGATAATAACTGAGTAGAACACTATAAAAAAAGTCACTAGGGATTCTGTGAAATCAGAGAAGCTTTCAGAGAAGCTTAAGCGCCCAGTAAAGTAGTTAACTATATAACACGCAGTTCAATGTTCAATATTAAGCATAAATCTTGACCAGTATTATAAAACTTTAACATCGCATGGGATGTTGAAGAGAAACACTGGTTGCAATAAAAGTGTCTCACCAGACTGACGTCGAAGGCTCGTTTGCCCGTCCTCGATCGAGGATTCTCTGTCTTCTATTAACGACTCGTCGCTTCTACCGCCTTGCATGTTTCATCTGGTCAACGAAATCTTCCCAAAATACCCCACAATAGAAGGTGTTTTGCTGAAAGAACGTTCATATGAGCATCACGCGAGGGTGAAGAAGTGTGTTTGGTCAGCAGCTATACATTTCTTGTTATATACGTTGTGTATGATGATGATGATGATGATGATACCTTTATTAAAGTGTCAAACTGTAATAGCGGTATATAACCACTAAGTGGGGACACTAAAATAAATTTTAAAAAATAAATCAATTAATAAATTAATTAAAAATTAAGAAAAACTATGTACAGTATAAGCAAGTGAGAAAATTCGAGAGAACTATATACAATATGTACAATGACGGAAGGAGAACAACCACAGGACAGCCAAATAGCTGACTGATGATTGACATTCCAGCATTTTTGTTGTAGTTGTTGCTGTTGTTGTTGTTGTTGTTTTTTTGCTGTTTTCCCTTGTATAGCATTAAGTTCATTGGTTTGTACAAAGAATTGTTAAGAATCAAGCTGTTTTTGACAAAAGCAAAACAAAGAAAAAAAGCATGGTATAAGTTGTAATAATTTTCTGCAGTACAATTTTCAGGTAAACCAGGCCACAGGCAGCCCAGGATTCGAAAACACGACGGTAGAAACTATGGAGTAAAGTCACCCTCCTTAAAGTTGTAGGAAATGCCAAATACAAGTAAAAGAAACTTACCCTGTTGGTAGTTTTTGTTTTAATGCTCACACGACGCTTCGTTAATAACATGGTATATAAATCTGAATTTCTCTCTCAATACAATAAAATACAATTTTTATAGATTTTATTAGATGGAAGGAAGTGCAGGAGGGTAGTGAAACAAGATGTTCATTGGAATTATTGGGTCACCTTTAACGGCATTTTGCGTTTTTTGCGTTTTTTACTTTGCGTTTACTCCGACATGTTTGCAGTGTTTGACTGAATCTTGGTCATAGTTTTGGGTAAAGCTTGATGACTCGTCTCCTAGAGCTATCCACAAGTTGCTAGGTAACTTTTTGGCAACTTCCCGTATATTTCGAGCAAATCTTTTCGTTTAGAGCAACTTTTTGCATTCTGAGCAATTTGTCTAGTTATTTTCTAATTCTGAGACATCGAAGTAGCTTTTAGTGCTATTGGCCTTACTTTCATATTTCACAATGTTTTAGTAGACAATTCATGAATTTCCTGTAAAAAAAGGAGCCAAATCCTCCCCCCCTGGGGCATATCATTGGCGCAAGATAAAAGTAGCCGGGCTCTTATTAGGTAGGGGGGTTTAGAGAAAATTCAAAATGGTGAACGAAGATTCACACTCTACTAACTTGAGTGTGTCGGGTGAAGAAGGTCATTCAACAATTTTATTGGCTAATTACTTTTTTTGGTTTTATTTGAGAACAAAGTTATTTAGCAACGTTGGTTACGCCGCAAAATTTCACAAAAATGCTTTGAAATCTTACTTTTGTAGTACAATTTGCATCTTTTAGCATCATACCCAAAAAAGGTTTTTGCTTTTTGGAGCATCTTCTGAGCAACTTTCGTTACCAAAAGCAACTTTTGATTGTTTTTATGCAACTTTTGAGCAATTTTTTGAGAAATTACGGGAAACGTTTTGGAAAATCTCGAGCAACTTGTGGAAAGCCCTACTCATCCCAGTTGTTTACATTTGTAAGCGGTCACGGAACGGTCGCAACGGACTAGGAGGCATCTTGTGCAAAGGGGATGATGGGAAGGTGAAAGGGATCAGGAAGAGAGTCTCCGATCTTTCCCATCATCCCTCGCGCCTCCCTTGACGGGGCTTCTCTCGTTAATATTGGAGACCTTTGTCTTAAAAGATACACTGTTTCCGTGTACGGGTACGGATAAACTGGGAGTAACAGTTAGGCTACCCGGTAGAAGGTTGATGCCAATATCACTTCTGGGAAATTGTGGTCACCTTTTGTACAACTAATCGGCAAACATGTTCCGGTTTACCCGTGTCCGTAGAGAGAAACGGTGCATCTTAAGCTAGGTCACTATTATAGCCGGTAACTGAGAAAGGATTGGGGACCAGTCCGAGGNGTTTTTGCTTTTTGGAGCATCTTCTGAGCAACTTTCGTTACCAAAAGCAACTTTTGATTGTTTTTATGCAACTTTTGAGCAATTTTTTGAGAAATTACGGGAAACGTTTTGGAAAATCTCGAGCAACTTGTGGAAAGCCCTACTCATCCCAGTTGTTTACATTTGTAAGCGGTCACGGAACGGTCGCAACGGACTAGGAGGCATCTTGTGCAAAGGGGATGATGGGAAGGTGAAAGGGATCAGGAAGAGAGTCTCCGATCTTTCCCATCATCCCTCGCGCCTCCCTTGACGGGGCTTCTCTCGTTAATATTGGAGACCTTTGTCTTAAAAGATACACTGTTTCCGTGTACGGGTACGGATAAACTGGGAGTAACAGTTAGGCTACCCGGTAGAAGGTTGATGCCAATATCACTTCTGGGAAATTGTGGTCACCTTTTGTACAACTAATCGGCAAACATGTTCCGGTTTACCCGTGTCCGTAGAGAGAAACGGTGCATCTTAAGCTAGGTCACTATTATAGCCGGTAACTGAGAAAGGATTGGGGACCAGTCCGAGGTATATATATTTACAAAGATCTTTACCCCTTGCAAAAGTAAGATGGCAAAGTTGAAACTGGTGTCATTACAAGGGGTACAAGGGACATGGATCCAAAGGGGAAGGGTGCCATGGGCTGTTCATGAGGGGTGGGGAATGGATGAAAGCCCGATTATGGTGGCTGAAAGTCAGTTCATGCAATTATATCGTAGATATCAATAATCATCACAGTTAAATAAGGCGGATGCATCGGAAACCTTGGTTCTTTTCGTCAAGACAAATTACTTCATAATGAGCCAGAACCACAGACACTGATACCTGTAAGACGCCCCTCCTAATTTCTACGGCCTGACAAGCCCTAGGTCTAGACTGAGAATACGACGAGAAAGTTCATAAACTAATTTATTTCTGTCATCCTTCTGATTTAATCTTAAATAAAACTACATGTTCACCAATAAAAAGTGGAAATCCTTGGACAGTTGCATCTTATGCAAAAGAACAAAAATAATAATTTCAGATATTTTTTTTTGGACTAGAACAACCCATGAAGTACAACTGTTCGGCCCCATTAGCAGCTGAAGTTAAACACTTATAAAATTTCATAAAGCATATATCAAAATTTCTCAAATACATTACTTTGATAATGTTTCATCTGCCCATCAACCAACTAGGAATGGGTAGTTCTAAACGCTGTGGGGCCTTTTCACCTTATTCAAAGGCTTTACTGCAGTACCTGTTATTACGAAATTTAACTCCTGGTTATCTTTGGCTTTTCTATTCGTACAATTGAGCAAATGCCCAGAGCAGGAATTAGAGACTTCCGATGGTTCCTGTTTGTCAAAGACTGTTAAAAGAGTATTTATTACACTAGCTACCAGACACAGACCGCACAGAGCCGGAAAAGTGGCAAAAATATGGAAAACAGCTGCCGTAATACCGACATCTTCTCTGGAAACAACACTTTCAAAAGGGATGTAGTCTCCGAAGCCAACAGTAGTGAAAGTTATAAACCACGTGTAAAAAGAGTCGACGAAGGTCCATTTTTCCCCAATGACTTGAACAGCAGAACTTAAAGAAAGAAAGATCACCATCAAAGCTAACGTCAAAAAGGCACATTTGAACTCCAAGTGACTCACAGTCGGGACCTTGAAAGCTCTTATCTCGAAGTTGATTATAGCTCTCTTTAAAAGCTCGGAGATCAAAACGCCAGCAGATTTTAGGGTCAGCAAACATAGAGGAATTCCAAACAAGGAAAAAACAATGCAGAATAACTTCCCATATGCAGTGACTGGAGTCAAATGGCCGTATCCTAGGAGAAGAGAAATTTAAAAAATGAACGTTAAGATTGAGTTGTTTTCTGCTGGAAAAAGAAAATAATCTTTTAGTTCAGGACTATTGCATCGTATGCCCCCGAACTAAATTATCAATTTATTAGGGAAAATTAAAAATCGATTGACCATCTCCTTTGTGCCACAATGTTCTACAGTAACAACCCACGAGTAACTAAAGCACGCATTTTCCCAAGACTAGTAAGCCTAAACTGGTTTATACATAAGCGGAATTAGAAATTAGCGCAAATTTCGGCTATTTAGGTTCTTAACTAAATTGTAGCTAAGGGTATTTAGTGGCAATTGGCTTATTCCCTTCCATAAAATCAGCATGCCATTACATTACATTTGGAGTGATAAGGCACCTATGCATTCAAAGAGAATCCTAAATGTTGACATTTTGTTTGCCTAAGTGTACAGAATTTCATGTTTTATTTCAAATTTTAGGGTGAACAGGTTCTTGTACGGAAGGAACCTGTTTAATAGGAAATTTTAAGCCTAACAGGTTCTTACTGGTGGGTTTTTATTGTATGTGCTATACCATTCAATTTTCGTGATCCTAACAAGGATGGGTTAGGATGGACCCTACCCTGTCCAGATTGGCTTTGGCTTTAAACTCTACAGAATAGGCAGTAGACTAGCCTGAGAAAACAGCCGACATTCCGCGACATCACCACCCGGGCATCACCACCGCTTTCCACGCGAAATGACGTCGAGAAACGAGCGCAGAAATTCCATACTGATGACGCACTACTACCCAGATATGGGTAATGCTTTTGATTGGTCGTGCCACGTGAGAAATTTGTTTCAACCAATCAGAAACACTACCCAGGTCTAGGCAGTGACACGTCATCAGAATAGAATTTCTGAGCTCGTTCTTCAGATGTCATTTCGCGGGGAAACCGGTGGTTGCGTCGCCAAATGTCACTTGTTCTCTCAGGATAGCGGTAGTCAGTATAAAAACAAAAAAACTAACCGATAGTTGTCATAGCCGAATATGCGAAATCCACAGCCCTGAAGTAAGTCCAGTCCAATGTTTTACCAGTGTGTACAGCGCTGTACGCAGCAGTTAAGAAAATCTCAAACCCTTCATCTGTCATGTTGCAACATTTAGTAAAGTTATATTTCAGCTGTTGTATCATCCTTTTTGATGTCTCTTTGTAGCTTTCCTCTCGCCTTTCAATGAGGGTAAAAATTCCTGCGCCAGCCAAGCCGTAAAACAGAAGTAAAAGCGTTCTTATGAGAAGTGTTTTTCCTGTTGACAGCATCATGTATATAATAACTTGTGGTTTTTCCCGACTTTAGCTTGTATCACTGACTTGGGCTTGCGAAAAACAAAAGAAAAAAAAACTAACATAAATATTTGTCTGTAGCATTTGAAATGGTAAACGCATATCTATTGTTAGACAGCGACGACTTTGCTATGGAGTGTGTGCAGTGCAGTGTTTTTAATTTGTTTAAATTATAATTAGCCTGAAGAAAAGAATACATAATCTCAAGCCAGGCTAGTCAGGCTTATTTTAATTTAAACAAAAGAATATTAACCCAGCAGCCATTTTTGCATTGGGTCTAATAACTAGCAATTATCAAATGAGGCTGAGATCGAGGCTCCCATCTTCCAAATGTGGTGAGCGCCAGCTGGTTATGAAGAATTAGCCGGGGCATGATTGGATCCAATCAGAAACGGCGAAATATTTTGATCAGTTGAATAAGAACTGCGGTGTTCTCTTTAGTAGACCTGGTTTAGTAAGATCTCCATAACCAAATAAGAAATTTTTGAAGGTACTGATTCTTATGGCAAGAAGAGTGAGAGAAAAAAAAATGTAAGGAAAGAAAACGAAAATCAAATTGTGAATTATATTTCTCCGATATTTCGGTTTGCAACACAAACCGTCAACGGAGGCTAAAAAAGAAAACTGAAAAAATGTGCACCGCCCCAGTGAAGCCTGAGAAAAATTTCCCTTTCGTGAACAGTCTCTGTCATTTTTAAGACACCTGGAAATTTTTTTTACCTGTTATTGAGAGTGTTTATATTAAAAAGAATGCAGATCACAGCCCAGGATAGAACCTGGACCTCGAATCCAGAGTTTCATATCTTCATCTTTCTCCCTTACCACTACACTACCACAGCGACCCGCCAAAATTCCGAAAATTGTAAGTACATAAACTACCAAACTGTCTTTCTTAACCGTTACTTCAATAACAGGTGGCCCTAGCCCTCTCCATAACTTTGAACGTAAATTCGACTTGGGCCTCAACGTCGTATTCAAAACTGTATTATTTGTCTTATGGGAACTTAATCCAGGGAATAAATTACATCTATCATGAATAAAGGCTTGGTGACCAATGGTGGTGGTGACCACGTTTAGGAAAGCGCGCGAAATAGGTTATGCCATCACAGCTGGTTTCCCCATTTAGAGGGGAAACCAGTGGTAGCGTCGCAGGCGAAATGTCGACTTTTGTCTCAAGCTAGCCCCAGCGCTGTCTAATTTGAACTACCGTATTTATTCGAATAAGCGCCCAACCTCGAATTAGCGCCCACCTCGAATAAGCGCCCATTCTAAAGGCAGAAAAAGTTAATAAGCGCCCAGCCTCGAATAAGTGCCCACCCCACCCCCTCCCCCTCCCAATCAACCTCAAATAAGCGCCCACTCCCGCCCCACCTACTTGAGTGATGAGATTGAAATTGAAATTGAATAAGTACTAATAAGAGACTTCCCCGAAGACAGAGTATGTGTGGCATTTACTGTTTTGTTACAAAATAAAAATACTACATTAATTGCTTTAAAGGGTTAAAATTTAATAAGCGCCCAGCCTCGAATAAGCGCCCACCTCGAATAAGTGCCCACTCTCAAGGTCCAAAAATTTAATAAGCGCCCAGGGCGGTTAATCGAATAAATACGGTATACGTTCCAAACATGTTCCTCGGGGAGGTTTTCTTTCGCTTTATCTTCTCCATAACAGCAATTCAAAAAACAAAAACTATAACTAATAATCCCTAATACAAAAGGAAAATAAGGTTCATTTTAACATGGCTGAAATATAAAAGTTTGGCTCCGCTCTTATTCGTTGAATTTAGTAGCGTTTACAATGATGCATTCTTTAACGTGCGTCCACAAAAAATAATTGATTTACGTTTCGATTCATATTCAAGAGATTTTTTTCCATGTTGTATGGTCATCTAGATTGGCCCGCATATCCGGCTTTTATGACACAGCTGATTTTCTGTCACCTTTTAAACTGAGCCCAAAGCTGCGATTAGAGTGAAAACATCGAAGGACTGACCAAGTGAAAGTAAACATGATAGGACAAAAGCAAACAATTTATCTCTGAGAAAGGCAAACTTAATTGATGCAAATAAAGTCATAAACCTTACCTACATTTTACTCACCTTCCAGGCTTTAAAGGCAAAATGATGTTTGGGCTGCCTCCTATTTATTGCTCGATTATATCACATTATAACTCGATCGAAAAATAAAATAGAAATGACAAACGCAACATAAGACTTGACAAGATTCCCCGAGCCATAAACTATGCAAACGGTGAGCAAACTGGAAGTTATTAATATTTTATTTTCGATCACTTACCATTAAAACTTTCAGTTTTGATAAAAAAAATTAAACAAAATTTCGCGACAAGAAAACACTACTGTAGGCAGGAATACAGCAGCATCATTCACTTCTGAGCGCAAGCTTGCCAAAAACGCTAAATCTCATATAAGCTTATATGCGAGCGTCGTCTGATTGAAGCCAGTGGCGGATCTAAAGGAGGGGCATTGGAGTGGCGCTTCCACCTTATTTTTAGGCTGAAGTCGAGTCTACAAAAGCGCACAGAAAAAGAAACGAAATATCCTGTCTCCTTGACCAAATAATCTGATTTTATTCCAAATTTAAAACAACGTTTTTCTTGTGGGAAAATAGCAGGAAGTCCTGAGCTGGCAGCCAATAACAATACCAGATTGACTTCACCTTACAAAATAAACCTGTAGAGAATTTCACTTTTATTAGCTAATTATGGTTCTGTTTGTCATTTGATTTTAACCTTCATTAGGTACTCCCCACCATTTTTTTTTGGTTCTCGTTCCTCTAATGTTGTCCGTGGAAAGATACCAACGCCAGACGAGATAAACAGGTTTAAACTCCCTAATCAATCGCACCTTTCGCAGCGGTGCCTCTGACAGCAGCGCCTTCGCTTTGCCAAAGTAGTTTTGATACAACTTCAGCTGGAATGGCGGATGATTTACCTAACTGGAATCTAAATATTCTCGATCCTATGGACGATAATTCTAAATCCAGATTTATTGAAGTGTCAAAGGATGGCGTTGACGAGCTTATTGCTCAGCAAGAAAACGAAAATACGAAGAAAAAGACGATGTATGACTTGGACACTGTTCTAAAATTTCTTGCGAGGTTCGGAATGAAGAGAGAGAATTTTAGCGAAAATCCCACCGCACCGAAGGAGATGAATGTATACCTTCGTGAATTCATTATTGCCGCTAGAACGAAGAAAGGAGAAAAATATGAGCCGTGTTCTCTCAGAGGAATCTTAACAAGCGTTGATCGTTACCTTACAAGGTGAGAATGGGAAAACTTAAGGCTATTCATTGATCCTCAGTTTACTAGATTGAGGGACGCATGGAAAGTAAAGGAAAAAGAACTGAAAAAAACAAGGCCGAGGAAATAAGCCGAATGCAACTACTGCGCTCACAGTAATTTTCAAGGAATCATATTAACTCCTTTAGTGGGGCTAATTTAACTCCTTACAGTGGAGTTATTTTGGGGGGAGTTATTTTAACTCCAAAAAGGAGTTTAAAAAACTCTTTTTCAGGAGTAAAAGTGACCCCAGATATTGAGGAGTTAAAATAACCCCAAAAAGGAGTTACCCTGTACCTAAAATTTTTACTCCACTTTCCGAGTTAGATTAATTCCAAAAAGAGTAAAATCAACCCATGTAAGGAGTAAAAGTAACCCCATTTCGGAGTTATTTTAACTCCAGACTGGGAGTAAAAAGAACTCCTTTTCAGGAGTAAAAATGACCCCAAATTCGGAGTTAAATTAGGAGTTAAAGTAACCCCCAAAAAAAGGTTATCCTGTACCTAAAATTTTTACTCCATGAATAAATCCCTAAAAATTACGGTGCTCTCTCAGAAGAGGAAATTGATATTTTCTTTGAAAAAAAGAAACGTCTTGGGAACAAGTTCTCCACAATCGCTACTGAACACTGTGTGGGTGTATTTTTACACTTTGGTCTCAGAGGTTACACAGCCCGTTGGGGCGATGTTGATTTGGAGACTGACGGTCAAGGCAAATAATATCTTGTTCATTCAGAGGGACAAACTAACAGTAGACAGGGCGACAACTCACGGAATGTTAGGCGTATGAAACCGCGAATTTATATATGAAAATAAAGAAATTCAAGAGGAGCGCAATCCAGTGAAGGTCTGTACAGAGAAAAACGCCCAAGGTTCATGTTGGCACCAGACGCTCCATTTTATCTGACGGTCAGCCACTTCAAATCCTCTGTTCAGGGGCAGTGGTTTAAAGCACAAGCTATAGGAGTAAATATAAACTGAACAGTATCCTAAAAGACATGTGCGACGCAGAAGCAATTTCCCCCAAAAAAACCACGCCGGGAGAAAAACACTCGGGCAAAAGTTTTATAGGATAATGACGTTCCGCCAAATCAGGGAATACAGATAACCGGTCACAAAAACCTCCAGTCAATAAACAACTACAGAGTACAGCAGCGACAAATCGAAAACATTTCAAACATTCTGTCAAGCACGATGTGCCATTTCGGAGCGGTCGTGGCTAGATGCAATCCCACAGAAGGAGGTGATCGAGGAGGACTAGAAACGAGAGTTGCTTTCGCAATCTTCGGCTCGTGAGACAAGATGGCCAAAGGCAAATGAAAACGTTTTCTCTTTTGATTATGTTATAAAAGAAATGGTAATCGCTGCAGCTGTGCAACCATAGAGTTATGGATGAACTTGAAAGATTTGCTAAGCACTCAAGAAGCTAGAGTTGCTCTCGGTTACGCCTCGAGCAACTCTTATTACGTTTCTATCGTGCTTAGCAACCTCCCGCGTCCATCCATAACTCGATAGTTGCACGCTGCACGTTTAACTTTACGCTAACTTTTGTTTCTAATACTTTCCATTACATCTTATATAGTGCTTTACAGTTTGTGCAAGCTCCTTAGTTTTTAGCATTAAACTTTTTCTGGCTCTTATCATATCTTTAATGGAACTTATAAAGGCCTATAAATGTACTGTATGCAGCTGCTGGCAAATTCTAAACGATTCGAGGTCGAAATAACAGAACCACTCTTTTTCACGGGCGTGCTGGATGTAAACTGTGGAATAAACACCCGGAATCAATCCGAGCAAAAAATAAAACCCATTTCAAAACAGGTCTTCACGATCGGGTTCCACGGTTGCAGCTTTTAACTATGAAGAGGGAACTTGTAGATTTTTCATCTTTTTGAATACTTGATCTTGAAAAATAACGACTTATGACATATTAATATTTCCCGTAGCAATTTGCCATTTGTCCCCTTCGAATTAAAAACTTGTTAACTTGTAGAATGACCGCCATCTTGCAAGCCGACCGCTCACATCAGCACAGCTTCTGCAGGTATATGGCTAAAAAATCGTAAAAATGTTAACTGCGGGAAAAAAACAAAGTTTCTGAACTTAGGCGGGGTCCATTGACAGATGTTTTTTTACGTTTCTAGAAAAAGCAACGTTATTGTGTATGTTTGTCAGCCATGCTGTTTCTTATGTTATTTTAATGAACATACTCTTTGTTTATGGACTATTGAAGTCACATCAAAATAATTTGCTGAAAGCAGTGTGCAATATGACTGACAAGTAAAGTTCAAATGTTGTTCCTTATCGCAATTTAATTAAACTAACTATTTTATGAAATATATTAGCAATAAAATTTGTTCACATTTCGGTCTCAATTGTTAGCGGTTTGGTGCAGATTTTGTCGATAAATATCGATGTCAACTCATAAACTTTCAAGACCTCTGAACCTTGCATGGATGGCGTAAATGGTTTCGAGCAACGATAATAATTTATTCTTAGTAAGGATTTATTTTTCATACTGATCATGAACACTTCAGAAGATCGCATTGTCCAGCTGACACTGTCTCTCCAAATGAGAGAACGCTGGTTGGTTGTTGTCGAATGCACAGCATATTTTTCGGTCGTTTTAATCGCCTTTGTGGGAAATATACTATTTGCTTTAACCTTTTACAAAATACGAACGCTGCGAACTCCTCAAAATTACTACTTAGTTTCGCTTGCGGTGACGGATATCCTCAATGCAGCTGCTTGTAGCATTGCACTTGTCGCCCTCGCAGAGGAAACGTGGCCATACGGTGATTTTATTTGTCAACTCCAAGGAGTAATAATGTCGATTTGTGGTAGTGTTTCACTCCTTACACTTGGGATGATCGCCATCAATCGCTACACAAAGATATGTCGCTCTCGAAGCCTCTATCAGAAAATTTACAGCAAAAGAAATGTTTTAACATCCATCGGGATTTCATGGATTGCTGCGAGTATATTGGTGGTCAGTGCCTTTTTCGTCCGCAGAACAGTCTACTTTTACCACCCAGGAAAGTGCTGGTGCTTTTATAAACTTGATATGGATGAAAGCCTTGGACTCTACATCTACATTACGTTTTGTTATTCTATGGTAGTTTCGTTTTCTTTTAGTACGATCGTTTTCAGTTATTACAAAGTATTTAGAAAAATCCACGCGCATTATGTTCAGGTCGGCAATTCCTCTCTTCGCGATGAAAATTCGAGAGCGTTGGCTGAAGAACTAAAAATCACATTTATGTTACTGGTGACTGTTTTGGCCTTTTTTATCTGTTGGACTCCGTCAATTATAACTGATCTTTACGAAGTTTTTGGTGGTTATTACACACTTCCACGACAAGTCTATATGCTGAACGTTTTTACTTTTGTAGGCAGTAGTGCTGTAAATCCAGTGATTTATGGTTTAATGAAAAAAGAATTTAAAGAGGCTTATAAAACAATACTAAAATGCCTATGAGAACGAAACGATGGTATGGTTTAAAACTCTTTGGTGCAACAATTTATATTGATTGTGAATCGAACTGAATGAAGTGTCATCTAGTTAAATTGCAGCTGGCCATTGTAGATTAGTGGAGGTTCTAGCCTGATAAAACAGCCGCCATTTTGCGAAGCCACCACTGATTTCCCCGCGAAATGACGTCTGAGAAACGAGCGCAGGAATTCCGTACTGATGGCGCGTCACTACCCAGATCTGGGTAGTGCTTCTGATTGGTTGAAGCAAAGTTCCCACGCGGCACGACCAATCAGAAACCTTACACCTTCTATCGACAAATGGGACCCTTTTCACGTAAATAGTTTAGAACATTGCGACATGAGTAGACGCTAGGTTCAGCCTGTGCTGGAGTTGGACGGTCTGCTTGCTGAGTATGAGGCGGGGCAGATTAAGAGGGGCATCCAACGATTGTTTTCTGTAAAGGTCTGTAAAATATCTGTTCGGATAAGCAAATAAAATTTTGCCTAGAATTTCCTATTATTCGAGCACGGCTTAAAATTTCTAGATGACCGTTTACAATTCTCGAAGGTTCTCTATTTAGATAGAATATTTTTGATATTATACTCCCCAGGTAAGGCTATTTTACTTTGAAAAAGAAAACCTAAAATTTTCGGATTAAAAAATGTGATGGAGAGAGGAATCAGAAAAATTCTCACTTCTGTAAAACGTTAAATCGCATCTAAAATTTTCGGGAAAAGTATATTGAAGCCCTTGTAATTTCGAAGACTCGAGTTCCCCGAGGATGACCGAACAGATACAAATTTTATAGCGCCACTTAGAATGTATTTCTGGAGATCTGGATAGCCTAAAAGAGCTTTCAATGCATCTAGAAGGAAACCGGAGTCGTTGGGTGCCCCTGGGAGTACAACCAAGAGAAACATCCTGTCACGGAGTTAAACAAGTAACATCATCCAAATAAAGTCTCTTGTTTTTATTCTTGATCAGCCTTGATTTCACTAACGGGTCATGCTACAGGTAAATATAATGAGATCAGAAACTATGAAACTTAAAACGGATATACTCGTTATCTCGCTGAGTTAGAATAGCAGTGTCACAAACTTTATCGAGTTCAAACAATGCATACTGACACCAATTTGCGAGAAGTATAAAAAATAACCGCTCAAAACATTGAAAGAAAGTATAAAAGAACACAGCATATAAAATACAAAAGAAGGCACGAATGGACGAATTGAAAACTTGCCACTGCTATGATTCAAAGTTCCGTTTGTGTTGTTTGTAATTTTTGATAAAGGATGAGGAATATTTGTTCCACATGAAACTGTGATTGTGTCAGGGGCACCCAACGACAATTTTCGGAAAATATCTTTTCGGAACATTTCTTGTAAAATTTCTTGCTTGCCTGCCTCTCCTAGGATTTTCGAACAAAATTTTTTACCCTAAAAAGGTCACCTAGAATTTTCGGGAGCCTTTTTTCTGGCTGGAATTTTCGGAAAGGTAAGTTTTGATCCCTATAATTTTCGGATCACTATAGACTTTCAGCTAGGAAATCCGAACAGATGAAAAACTTTTAGGAGATAAAAATATGCCTATATCTACCGTTTCAATACTAAAATACGTTTAACAATTCTATGTTTAAGTGGTTTTGAACTATATTCTCGTTGGGTGCCCCTGTTGTGAGTGTGCAAGTTATGCAAGTTATTTATTCTCTAACAATCTACACACACACTTTTTTTTATCTACACACACTTTATTATTCTTAACAATCTATATTTACATAAAGTCTATTTCCGCCGGCAAATAGCAAGTGCTAGTCGAGGCCGGCGGAGATAATATGCGTTGCAAATGCGACTGTAATATTAAAGCTGTTACACAGCCACTATTGCACCATTCTGCAAACACAGAACATGCCCACAATGGCGACATCGATCCAAAACCAAGACATTGTTCACGAGTAATCAACAAAAATGAAAGTTCAGTTTAAAAGGGTTATCAAGAAAAGCCGAGTGCTTGGATTCACGACTTGGTCTATCCTTTTCCTTTACACAATGCCTGTTTATTCCAATCGATATGCCACTAGTGCTTGGGTAAATCAGGTAAGCGTAAAACAGCCGGAAACAGTTGAGAACGCTACACGTTTTAATTCCCCACTCTTTGCAGCCGAATCAGAGTGGAAATTTCAGAAAGAAACGGATGAAGTAATAGACAGAAAGCAACTTTCACCGACTGAAATACAAAGCAGATCATTTAAGCACAAAACGACGCTCATAACAACGAAAGTTTGTTTGCAGCATTACTTTCTTCTTATCCTGGTCTCATCAGCCCCCGCTTATATTCAAAGAAGGAGCGACATACGCCAAACTTGGGGAACAGATACTTCAATTGAACCTCAATGGAAGACCGTTTTTCTCGTAGCTCAAACGCGAGTGCAGAGCGAGTCAAACGCATTGTTCAAAGAAGACGAAATCTTCGGAGATTTAATAAGAGCAGATTACTACGATCACTACTCTAATCAATCTCTGAAAATACGCATGGGATTTGAATGGGCTGCCAGATACTGCAAGTTCTCTTTTCTGTTGAAAATAGACGACGATACCTTCGCGAACACGAAAGCACTTATTTCGTTTTTGAAATTGCCGAGTACACCACGAGAAAAGCTGTACTTGGGGCGTGATGCAAATACCGCCGTGTTAAGAGGTGGCAAATTTGGGGTTTCCAAACAAGAGTACAGCGGAAATCACTATCCACCGTTTTGTCCCGGTTTTGGAGTGGTATTCTCAAATGATGTCATTCTTTTGTTCGTAGATCTATTTGATGTAGTATCAAAATTCCGACTCGATGATGTTTACACGGGTATGCTCGCGTATAAAGCTGGCGTGAAACTCTCCCGCACCAGCAATTTTGAATTTTCGGTAAACCCACCGCCTGCGTCTAAATGCAAGTGGCAGAAAAGCACTTTATTGCGTCATGGAATCACTGAAGACTGTCTTTTCCAACTTTTTAACGAAACCGTTCACCGCGTTATAAACGAGTGATTTTCAAGATGCAAAGAACACGAAAGGCAAGTCTGCAGTCTGCCTTTATACAACAGTGATCACCTGAGGTATCACGAAGAGATCTGTTTCCAAAAAGTAAATTGATTGCCATTATGAACAAGGGATTTATGAATCACGGCGGCATGTGGTGCTAATATATATCAAATGGGTTATTGATAGACCTGATAGTGTACTTGGCGTCCTTATTTCAGTAACAACTATAGCTAGGACATAAGTTGCGTTAGAGAGTCTTTAGAGCATTCTATATGTCCTTGTAAAAGTTACATGATTATGTTTAAGATATTTTAGACTTCTAGTATTGAATTTAAGTGATAGAAAACATTGTTCGTGTTTGTCGAGAATTCTCTATAGTTATAAAAACATCAGCTAGGATTCATTCGTCGTAAAATACCATCAACATATTAAAAACGACTCGTATGAGATACACAGACATTGAGATCTCCCTATTTGGTCCTTTTGTGCTCCCATTTTGATTATATGCCTCTGAAATCTGGAGCCCGAGGTCTATCGCTCATGATAAAACTAGTTGAGGGAGTTCAAAGACGTGCGACAAGCGGGGCTCTCCTGTCCTAGTTCAGCTGGCCTGCGAGCAAGTTCTCCATACAGGGGTGTTGCGAGAGCGAGCGCCCCGAACGAATAGATCTACTCCCTCTAGGAGTTACAGTAGAGAAGTCAGAAACCTTGGTACATTTTACAAACTCTCAAGTGTGCATGGTTACTATATCCTTCAATTCCTTTGACTCCTATTCTAAACTAAGGTCTTTTTCAAGTATAGTTAAGTAATGAACTATGATGATGTGGCTTAATTAAAAATAAGGTAAGCTGTGTGTGAATTCATAAGGAAGTCTCATTACTGAATTTGTCTGAAACTAAATTTGAGATAAAGGGTTGTTTTAAGCCAACAATGTCGCTATGGTAACGATCAAAATCTTACGTTTTACCCGAAGAAACGTTGCAATTTGTCTTATGAATATGTTATTTTGTTCGTGATAAATTTGAGCTTTTCACTTTCCGCAAGGAGTCTTAAAAAAAATAAACACACTACAAATCCGAACTGCATTCAGACAGTATTTAGCTACTTTAACTACAAAGGGAAAAACCACGCGGTTCTTCACAAAAGTTGTAGCGGTCGCTTATGGGAGCAGACCAAGAGTATTTCATCATAAAGCTTCCGGTCACAGTTCAAAAGGGGTGTCAAAAACGCCATAAATTGATTCGTATAGCTTGTTGTATAAAGAGATTATTTCAGTGCTTCGTCACGAGATCTCGCGAGGATATTTACACGGTTTCTATAGGTCAACTCCAGAAGTCAGATACTGTCATTACTTTCGCGACGCAGTGCCTTTACTTATCACAAAATACTCCTGTGGAGTTGTGACTTATCGAATAATTTTCATCAGGGAGCCGGATAACCATAATAATCTTTTGGTGATTCATTTTTTGCTACTTTACAGCAGTTTCGGATAACACGCGACCCAGTGTAATGCAAAAAGGTTTTGAGGTAATTAATTTTGATTTCTACCCTAACCCTTGCCGAATTTCTCTGGCATGGCGAAGGCTTTTGCGAAATCTGCGAGATGGAGGGTTGTATTTTTTAGACTTTTTATTGAAGTCACAGAGGAACCCGAAACCCTTAAATACCTAAAAAGTTTTTGATATCGTGGAGGTTGCCTGTTATCTGAAAGAGCCGAGTTGTCCGAGTTGTTAATGAAAAAGTTGGCCCAACTTTTTCAAGTTTCAATCCATGTCAGCAGCCGATTACTTAAGTAATCGGCTCCTGTCCATCTCCATCTTTGCAATCCGTAGCAATAGAAGACGAAACAGTTTCAATGCCTAGACATAGTGTGAAATAAAACAAATGGACCAGTTTTTTTGGAATTCAACTGAAACGAAGTTTATTTCTCTTTTAAAGACGTAGATTTTCGCGCCAGCCGCCGCGACCAGCGGCTGCTTAGGAGTTCGCAATGATAACTGGGTAATTTGTTTAGACCTGTCCTTGTATTGTATCGGAATGAAAGATCGTGTGGCGTGAAAGAGTTCATGGTTTTTTACTCTCTAAGAGAACTTACCCTTGATCTTCTATTGTTTACTGTAAGGTATCCCTAACCGGATTTGAAGGGTGCAATTTTGGGCCAAATGTTGGACAAAGCCGGACGAGGGATTGTTTAGTAACGGGCGATTGCCCAACGATGAAATAATCGGAATTGAACTTTACCACTGTGTGTAGAAATTAGCTCCTCTTTAACAACACTTGAAACTTCCTGATTATAGTGGGGAAATTTTTTCCAAATCAAAAAGTCTTTCGTTGTAAATGGACAGAGTGTTGGAAGTTCGGCGCCCGCCGGAACAAAGCCAAGTGGCTCTGTCTAGAGCTTCGAAGATTTTCTTCGGATGCGACATTTTCCAAGGTAAGCTTGCAGTTTACATTTCATGATCGTTAAGGTTTGCTCAGCGACGGTAAATTGATAAAGTGAGATTACATTTCTTGTTTTTGCATTGAAGTGAGACTGTTCCGATTGCGATCTTGTGGCGTGGCGTAATTTGCAAATCATTTAATACAATGATACAACTTTTAATTTTAATATTAAACTTGTGCACTTCTCGGTAAGGTCAGCTGCACTGATCTGATAAAAGCTTCCTTGCGTAAATCTCTTGACCAGTGTATAAAGGTTTTCAGCCGAGGTCGTTTTTGAACAAAATCAGGTAATCGATTGATTTCGCTGGCCATTAGTAAACAAAGGTTGCAACAAAAGGGACTGAGAGCCGATTAAACGTCAATCTTGCTTAAAATTAGACCCCTAGCGACGAGTTTAGCCAAACAGAACTCAAGACGTTATCAGATGCGATTAAGAACGATATACCTCGGAAAGTGACAATGTCAAAAGATGTGTTAACATGAAGGTTATTAGGAGATACAGTGTACGTGTGTGGTTGACGACAGATAAAAGTTTTTTTTTATGTATACATATTTTTTGAAATATTAAAACCTAATAGGTTTCAACTATTGTTTTAAAGTATAGTGTTTTACTTTTGCAATATTTTAAAACTGCCGTAAGAATTATAAGAAAAAAAATTAAAATAGTAGTGTTTCATGTCTTTGAAAATTTTATTCTCCATTTTATACCCTATTGTGATTCTAAATATAAAAGATGTCTGATTTTCATAATTTAAACAGAAGTGCTGAACAGCAGGTGATCAATTAAAAAAGGAACATTATGGCTATCTTTTTTAGAATATTTGTTAAAGTTTTATTCTTCTAATTTTCTATTCTTCTGCCGTAAGAATTATAAGAAAAAAAATTAAAATAGTAGTGTTTCATGTCTTTGAAAATTTTATTTTCCATTTTATACCCTATTGTGATTCTAAATATAAAAGATGTCTGATTTTCATAATTTAAACAGAAGTGCTGAACAGTAGGTGATCAATTAAAAAAGGAACATTATGGCTATCTGTTTTAGAATATTCGTTAAAGTTTTATTCTTCTAATTTTTGTTGTTTGATTTTTTAAAATGATTGTCAAAAATCAAAGAGCAACTTTTGCAATTGCATTAAAATTCCAAAATAATAGTATTAAATATTCCCTTAAAGGATGCTGCAAGAATTGTGTTAAACAAATTTTTGTGACAGGTGAATAATGTATTTACTTATATATCAGCAATTGAACGTAGAATTTTAAAAAATTTTTTTGTAGTCAAGAGAAGTCTTGTCTTTAAAAATGTCACAACCATGGTAATGTCATAAATGTGAGTATCGCTATTTGGCAAATATATTTATTTTCAGGTAACATGTGGAACAATATGCTACACAAAATATTTTTAGAAGCTGTAAAAAAGGAATTTTCATATAATCATTATTTTATTAGTAAGTAACCTTGTTGATTCCTGATGCATTCACAATTAGAAACAACAAGGTCAGCCTGTCATGTAAACTTTCTTTGTATTTTACCATTTTCAAGGATGATGCATTTTGTTTGCCATAAAAAAAATAATAATTAAAAAAAACAAGGATTAGAATCTAAGCAGGGAGGGGTGGGGGCTAACTTAGCATGTGAAGGTCACAGGATACCCCATACTGTTTCAAGGGAAGGAAGCCTGAATCAATGCAATAAAAAAATATTACAAATAATCATAGACTTTTCCCACTGGTTTATCCACCAGAGTTGCACTGTTTAAATTACAAAATCAATTACCAGGTACCAAAATTGGTAGACTTTAAAGGGCCTTTCTTTCAATCGAAAAATAAAATTTTCCTGCATACTTTCTTTCACAGCTAAACCAGGAAAACCATGAACACCAGAAATGTTTTGTGTTGCGAGAAAAAAGCCAGTCAGGCGTGACAAAACCACAAGCAAGAACCTTCATTAGTTTGTGGTTTTGTGGCTACCAGTAGTTCCCGTGTCCTGATCTTTGCTATGATTGGTCGTAACACAATAAGCATTCCTGAAATATTTTGAGTGTTCACGGTTTTGCCAGTTTGACTGTAATAATTTTAATTTTTTGTTGATTATATTTCTTAGTGATTGCTGTTGTAGTGTTCCAAGGTTCCATGATTGCTCTTGGAGATTTCAGTGCATACAATAATACTGAGGTAAATCAGAAACATCTAATCAAATATACATTTGTAGCACAATGTAACAGACTTTATGATATGGCTACAGTAGTATGCATGCTCAGATTGGCTTCTAAGCAGGCATTAGTAACTTATAATGATGAGACATTCCAAGCTACATGTAGGTGTCCAAGGCATATACAATATTTGTATGGTCAATGTTATGGTCAAATTGACAGCTGTCAAAAAGGGTATCCACTGACCAGTGTCACATAACTGTATCCCGGGCTCAAGTGTACAACTCCATCACTTGGTCAATGCATCAAGGCCTCAGTCTGAGATTTCCTTGTGATGACTTCACTCTCACTTAGTAAGTGGTGTATAACTTATGTTATGCTACCCTTTCAATCTTTTTTTCCTGGGAAACAAAATGAGGAAAAATCAGGGCTGTGGTCTAACAGTGCCTAATTGCCTTTCATAAATCATTGATTAAGTCATGCCCCTAAGATCAACATACACATTCTCTAGAATGATCCATTCATTTCCTCAAAGAATTAATTTGTTCCTTAAAGAACTAATTATTTTTGGTGATCATTTTGTTAATTCTAATAATTTATTCTCAGTTAGTTTTATTATTGTGAAGATGAAAATACCACTTGCTAAACTGGACAAGTAGTGTTCAGTGATCCACTGGCCCAGACTTGATTACGTTCTTGAGTGGGTGAATGTTAATTTCAAACCTTGGCTGAAAGAAATATGTTTTGTATGCATACAGCACCCGGGTATGGGACCAGGCCGCAGGATTTACATGGCAATGTACATGGGGGCTGTAGTATACACTTGTTTTCTCTGCTTGTTTGCTGTAAGTAGCAATATTTTTTTTTTCACTTTTTAGTTACCTTCCAATAGTCTTTCGTTTTTTATTATCTACCCTTTATTATATGGCTACAATAGTATGGATGCTCTGATTGGCTGTTTTCTTGTTATGACTGGGCATTACTACATATAGCTAGGTGTCCAAGGCATAATACAATCTGTGTTTAACTTGATAGCGGAAATCCTCATTGAAAAAGGGTATCCTCTGGCCGGTGCCACCTGACTGTATTGCAGGCTCAAGTGTACAACTAATTGTGGTGACCAGTTTCTTTAAAGTTATCTGCTGACCAGTTGTGGGTTTTAATTGATCACAGGCTCAGATCCATAATCAAAAGACCATATAATAAATAACTTATTAACCTTGTCTGTTCGGTCATTACAGGGAAACCTCAGACCGAGGCTATATCAAGGCCAAGGTCTGAGATTTCCCTGTAATGACCTCACTCTCGGTTGATAAGTAGTATTAACTACCTCATGCCAGTTTTTGTTTCTCAATTTACTTTGTACGCTATTTAAACAAATTAGTGACTTTTACTGTTTTCACTTCTCGGGACATTCTTATTTTTATCATTTCAACCGTATTTTTCATCTTAAAAATGTTTACTTTAGAAAAACTAGGAATGTTGGAATAACTACCTATTTGTGCTTTGCATTTTCTTTGCAGGTAAAGAAGCAGAACTTTATGGAAATTATCGCCTTCGACTTGCAGAACTTTGCATTTGTGACTTACAGCTTCATTCAACGTAAGTTGCAGTGTTATTGCTTCAGCAAATCTCAGTATAAAAATTCCAAGGGATAGCATGTACACACATTCCTCCTCCCCAAAACATTTTTTTCTCCAGGTCTAGTCAAGTCAAACTTTATTTACTATAGGCAGCAAGGCTACACTGTAAGAAAAATTGAAGGAAGTCAAGTGCTCTGAGTCTGTGAAATCCAGGGTGCCCTGCATCGTTTTCTTTGAAAAAACTTAGATTTTTTAGTCACCAGGGGCCACTGAGAACCACTAGAGCTCAGCTTTGGACATGGTAGCCATATCTGCCATTGGCTGGTATCAAAAGATGCCCTGTGTAAGTTATGATTACAATCACAATGATTATTTTAATGGAACCTCCGCAAATGGCAACCTTGCCACGACGGCCTCCTTTTTTGGCAGACAGACCATACTCCATATGTAATACAGGTCAAAATTAAATTCAGGTTAAATTTTTTTAACCTAGGTTGATTCTCAATTTTCTTTGTCTTCAAGCCCTAATTAATAAATAATTAGGGCTAGGAGACAAAGGAAATGGACCATCAACTTAGGTTAAAAAATTTTATCCTGAATTTAATTTTGACCTGTAACACATACATTGACTCTTTTTTAAACTTTTCTACAACAGCCACCGTAGAAAGGTTCAACTGTAGTAGAAAATGAAGAAGAATATACGTTATGTAAGTCACATCAATAATATTGTTATCACTCACATGTTAATTTTGCAATGTACATTTTGTATTGCAGTTTATCATGTTAAATTCAAGACGTACAATGGATCGAGAACAAGTGAAAATGATTCTCTGCCTAAGATTGTGATAGGCAATGTAAGTTAATATTGTTTAAGAGATCCTTTTTAAGTAATTAATGCCATGACATTGGTCAGATCAAGAGACTATAAAGGGGACAGAGAGGGCATCCCCCATATACACCCTATTCCATAGGTAATTCGTCTCGAGTTATTTTTAACACCACAGATCTCAAGGGGGATTAGACAACAGCCAATCACATAGCGCGAATGTGTTCCGCGTGGATGACCCACGCTGAGAGCCACGCGTCCTTCACGAAATGACGCAGAACAAAATGGGGGAAGACGCGGAGAGCGATTTTGCTATTCCTTTTGTCGACGAAAACGACTACAGCGAGATTTCTGCGAAAGCTGTGTCAGCGAAACCGAAATTAAAAAAGAATCGCCCTTCCTCTCTTGTATAGAGCTAACAGTAGAGCAGGGAAATCCTTAACACACTGAATATTCTCTCAGGATCATTTATAATTTACAGTTTGAAGAGAGCAATTTCTGGTTTGATGTTTATTTTTTTCAGTCTTTATAGCGATTATTCCTACCCACTTACTTTGTCAATTGTAGGCGAACCCTCCTAAAGCTGAATTTCAAGGGACCATATTCAAGCTCAGAAAGAGAAATAAAATTTCGTCGTTGCTTATTTACGTCCTCCATAAAACGCGAAATTAGGCATTTTCACGTCGTAGTCGTGCAAAAACGGGAAAGAAATGAACAAAAAAGTGTGTTGCACGTGCGAAGTTGTTGTTTTGCTAATTAAACCTATTGTTTTTTTGACGTTCTAGTTGTCGTCCGCGTCGTTGGATCTTAAACTCCCTAAATTGTACAAACGACCGGTTTCAATAGACCGGCGAAATTTCTCATTTTATTAAAGCACTGAGGTTACGACAACTTCGAGTTAAACTGATTTCACGGGTTGTCAAAGAGTCCAGCGATTCCTTTTTCCCAGGTGAGCGCCGACTCATTTCGCTTCAATATTCAGGAATGCTCTCGATCTTTTTACGCTTTCATTGCCTCTCGCCCGACATGTTTTGCACGGCGTTTGGTCATGCGAAACCTCCACGAAACATCCACGCCTCGCGCGAGGTAACTTTATCCCGATTCTAAAAATAACTCGAGACGAATTACCTATGGAATAGGGTGTATATGGGGGATGGCCTCTCTGACCCCTTTATAGTCTCTTGGTCAGATTGATCAGATAATTGTCTGGTTAGGTGTCATAAGGTTTTTGTGTATCACACACTTGATATTCTTTTATGTGATTTCAGTAGGATTATTATGATTGCATTACAGGCAGCCACACTCTTGTTGCTAAATATTGTCTTCACGTATTTGTCTTACAAACTGTACATGGAATTTGGATGGAAGATATACAAGAGAGTGCGGTTCAACATCAAGCTTCGAGGTAAAATGCAGACTTTGTCGTAAGAAAAACTACCAGTCTTTATTTATTTCAGATCTCAGAAAAGTCACCTCTGGGTTTCAAAGGATATAATGAAGATCTTTTGAAGACATACTAATAATTTAATAGGCAGTTAGTTTTTATGTTAACTTCAACCACCCACATTTTTGCATTTAAGGTGGATCTCGACTTCGTCTCGGTCCATAGATTCGTAATAAGAACTTGGCCAATGTATCCAGTTATCTTGACTAAACAGGCTTGGCCAATAAAGGACTTATTATATGGCCAAAAGAAAATGTTTTCTTGCATGATCAAAGCGGGAAATCCCGATTGAACAAATTAGGGAGCTTTTTCAACGATGACGGTGACGGCAACGAGAGATTGGCCAAAAAAAAACTTTGCACGTGATGTAGCACACTTTGTAACGTGAAATTCCCTGACAGGAAGTTTTATGGAGGACGTAACCACCCCATGACAAATTTTTCTTTCTTCTTCTCAACTTTGGGTTCGGTCCCAAGAATTCAATTCCAGAAAACTTACAATTGACTTTTTAGGCGAGTTGAAATAATCTCGATAAAAAAAGTTTGAAAAACGTAAAGACTTTTTAAATGTGACGTTTTTCGCTGTGATTGCCTTCGACGTTGCCAAAGGTCCCTACTGAGACACTCAGAACATGACGACTGAGAAGTCTCGTAATTTTCTGAAAAAAACAAGAGTCTACAAAATTGTTTAATGCTTCATGCACCATTCACTACCATTCATGTTTTCAAGTGATTAATATTACTTAGTTTGGTAACTATTACAGAAAACATAAAATTTTATCATGACTTATCGTAGATTAAAATGGATATACTTGTGTAATAATGAGGAACAAAAATACCAAATAAAGTATTGACAAGTGTCCTTTCTTTGTATTTTACAGGAATTTATCAAATTTATGAATTGTTGTCCTGCCTTTTAAAGATCGAAATTCTTTATTGGGTTAGTATTACATATACTTTTTTTTAAAAACTGTGGTTTGAGTATATCTCTAAGGTTACCGGCCTAATTAATGTCAGTTTTCAAATTCCATTCTTTCTGGAATAATTCTTTACTTACTAAAGGTATCTCTTAGATTTGAGTTGATCGCAATAAATGGAGTTTGAAACAAAATTCAACTTCTATTTTTATCAAAATTTATTAAATAGGGATGTTGCTTCCACATACAATCCGATCTTTCGCGTTTTTCACAATTGCAAAAAATCGCGAAAATAAAGATCCGTGATAATAAATCCTCGCGGAATTTAAGTACGTGAAATTAAATGCTCATATAGAAAATTCAAATTGTCACAAAAAAAATATTAACTTGAAATAGTAACATCATATACAGGATATGTATCGACAATATAACTTGTTAACGGGTTATACTAGTAAACTTCAGAGTGAAGTAAGGTTAATTTGTAAAGCTTTCACACATTGCTTTTCCAGTTTAACTAGAAATATGAAAACTTTTTCAAAAATAAAATGAAGTTGAGAATGCTTAAATCGCGAAATTTAATGCTCTTTTCTCATATGTGCGTATTGAAATCGCGAAAATAGAATCCTCCAAAATAGCCTCTCGCAAAAATGGGGCACGCGAGAGCCAGGAATTTGTATAGGGTGTCCGTAATAGCGAGCTGTCCGTAACACTAGAGTCAATTTATAAGGGTTATTGTTTTTTTTTTGACAGGGAATGTATGCAATTGTTCACAGCCTGGTTCTCTTACGAGATACACATAACGTCCTGTTTTTCCTAAGCTTGTCATTCATTCCGCTTTCATTGATTTATGCTGGCCTTGGTTTTTATGCTGTAAGTATAATTTTATTTTATGTCTTGCATGAAAATACTTTCTTAAAGGGTGTTTTTTTTTCAGCCTAGAATGAATGTTCTTAATTTTCTCTCTCATTTTCCTTAGGGGTTAGTCAGGCGAGCACTTTAATTTACGCGATATCGCCACCTGCAATAAAGGTCTCTTTACTGCGCCAACCTCGTTCCCAGGACGAGGTTGTTCCCTGATCGTGTCACCTTTCTCGCGGGGGTGATTTTCACGCGCGCTCACGTATTTTGCCCGCCCCAATACCCCTAATGAGGGACTAACGTGGTCCACAAAGCCTTTAGCTGGGTACACTTTGGGGGACTTCGAAAATGCTGGTAAGGGCCTCTACAAACTAGTCGCTGTGACGTTAATTTTTTTTTGTTCCAAATATTTGATCTGAGGCCTGTTTTATTGTTTCAGACCCGCCGCGAGAATAGGTTTTTGATGATATTTTTTCTCAGCTGGACTATTGGTGGGATTGGATATTTCTTGTACAAACTTTATGGGTAAGTGTTTAAATTGTTTGCGTAAAGTAATCATCCTTGCCCTTTAGAAAAATTGCTCTCTCTGCAGTCATTAAAAATCTTACCCCTGGTGAGCAACTGCGAGGTGTGTTTAAATGTTGACTGTTTCCTTACGTCCTTGCTGTCGTCTTATCGTCTTTGTTTAAATCAGGTGACATAATTTAAGCTTCGAAACTTGTCTAGTCGCTGTACGTCTTCCCAGGCCTTCTTGGTCAAAGCATTTCGGTGACGTAGCCGCATGACCCGAAACGCATCGGCCGCGTGCAATAATGAGGCCTAGGGACTAGGCAACTTCAAAACGTCATATAAATTGAATTCATTTCAACACATTTTGAGGGGGCCTTATATCCGAGGATGGCTTATAATCGGATGTACTTTTTTGTTTACAGGTGGATGTGCCTATAACTGGGGCGGGGGTGGGGAAGCTTATTTTGCGGCATTTGACGGTATTACTACTAACTATTTAAATGTTGCAGGTTCATTACACGCAAGTGCAGCGGATGTGCAGAGTTTGTGGAAAATGGTAAAGATATACCCAGCGAAGCTTTCATGCATTTTGTCTATCTAGGTATGATCTTTCAGCCTGTGCTGATTTTGTACTGTTTTGTTTTGATGTGTTAGCATACATAGAGCCGTATATCCTGTTCCAGGCGTGCAGATTGTGGGAATGGCGCAAACATAAGTGTGCAGGAAAAACAGCGAGGGGTAGGGTAGGGTGTCCTCGTGCCATACTTCGCTATTCTAACACCTGGAGCAGGCTTAGTTTGCCTTTGGAAAGATATCGTAAGTAGGTCTGCTTCATTTAAGCAATAGAAAACGTTTTCCGTGTTTGTTTAACCTGATATAAACGCGAGAGGGGCTGGGAAAATTCTCTCAACCCCCGAGGGAATGGGTAAATAAAGTAAACTTGTCGAGTTTTCAACTCAAAATCTTTTTCAAATTCGTGCTTGAGTGATTAGCTCGCGAAAAACAAATCATTTTGACGTCACAACCATGTCTACATACTCTCATAAAAACACCCCTCCTGGCCAATCAGAGCGCGTACTATCTCAAATATTTTGTAATTCTTTGTAGGAACCGTGAACTTGCTTGTACTCGTAGCAATATTTGGTGTTGCACTGAAGGCGTACCGTAACTTTGGTGGTGGATTAGCTCAACATTGTAAGTTTTAACAGGGTCCGAAATTGCGCCTTCCTGGTCGCCAGTGCGACCAAAAATTCAGTTCTGGCGACCAGAATTTCATAGCTGGTCGCCAGCTGGCGACTTGTAAAGCTGGTTGTTATTGTAGACTTTCATGTTCGGAGAAAATGATTAAGAATTGAAACCTCGAAGCTCTTTGAAAACAGATGTCTTACTTTTTGTCCTGCTGATATTTTTTTAATTTAAAAGTGAAACGAATGTTCCTGTAAATATACCTCCACAACAGCTACGATCAATACAAGTTGAACGTTTCCAAGCCACCAAGACGAATTTTTGGCGAAAATAATTTGCCCTCTGGCGACCAAAAATTTATACTTGCTCACCAGTTGGCGCCCATATTAAAAAGTTAATTTCGGACCCTGTTTAACATAAAAAGAACATGATTACTGCGGATATTACCCTGCATTGCAGGCGTATTTTTTGACGAACGAAGTTTATGTTAGTTTATTCGTAATCTTTGATTTCATCACTGTGGAAGACTGGAGAGAGTAGGAATAGTAACCCTTGTTTTGAAAGGATCGCCCCAACTCCTCGGCTTCCTGCGGTTACGCATCCGAAGAAAACGCTTGCGATGCAGGCTCTGCGGATATTGTCATAGTTATAAAACGCTGTGCTCAGTGCTTGAGTTTTAGCGCACCTTTTCAAGTAAATGTGGTATGTTTCACGGCATAAACTACAAGAAGTCCCTTTATTTTATCAGAGCTCATCGAAATGGCGGAGAAGAATAGCATTGTTAGGTGAAGGTGGTTAGCATGGGCTCAATTGCTACTCTGACCACTAGCTACGTCATTGTGTTTCAGTAGCCCAATGTTCAACTCTTCGACCATGCTTACCTTCTGCCAGGTGTTTGTCCGTTTTTCACTCACATTGTTATAAGCTAAACCCGTTTGGTCCTTGTGTTTGTTTGGCCTTCCTCGGAGACCCAAAGCGGGCAGAGTTTACAAAGCCCAGGCCCCGGTTATTCAAACGTTGGATAACGCTATCTACCGGATATTTATTTATTTACTTAGGTTCGGCAATTCTAAGCAGGGACATTACGGCAGGCCCGTAAAAGTCCCCCCCCCCCCACGCCTTATAAGAGATAGACCAGCACACCCGGGACTACGTCCCCTACTATTTACAAACCATGTGCGGGTTCTTCAATATCCTACAGAATTTACATGTGCAATGGTTGAGACGGGGCCAGGGTTTATCGTCCTTATCCGAGAAGACTATAAAGTATAACCGTTTGCAGATGTTTTTACAAAGGCAGTACTCCTCAGTTAATTAAAGACGCTGAGTGTTGGTCCGGCCGGGGTTTGAATAGACAGCAGCCCCCTACTTGGTAGACCGGCGCTTATCCAGTTGAGATAATGGGTCGACAGTTGAAGTGAATCACTGTCCAGTGAATAGGTATTAGCGAAACCACTTGCGTAATCCATTGGATAGAGTTATTCGAAGTTTCAACAACTGTGACGTGACTTTTTAAAATCCTTTGGTACCTTGTAGGCCAGACCAGAATTTCCGGTTAGTATATCAAATAGTGAGTCACATGAAATGTTAGCAAAACTTAGGTTGTGTCTGAGGCGATTTAATTTGTCTACCGCTATAACTCATTAATTGTCTCCTAATTCTTTTTTATCTTTCTCGGCAGTTAACCGTAAGAAGCCTCAGTTAAAACTATCCGCGCAATATGACTTAAACCTGGGACGAGGTAGTCATAATTACCCAGAGGAAAGTGTTATCTCTGTGACGTCATACGAGTTTGATGAGTTTGGCGAAAGCGTAAGACTGGACCGAGGCTTGCTGCACCCTGGAATGGCAGCTTTACCAACACTTACAGAAGGTGGACAGAATCTTATCGACAAAAGAAGTTGCAGTCTACCAAATTTGTTGCCAGAATTGCCAGCAAGGTCCTCACCGTTTTTAAGCACATCTGGTGAAAATGGGTCTGTTTTGTTACAAATACCAAAAGAGAAGTTTGCAGCCCGAGCAATTACCAGTATCTGTGAGGAGAAACCGGTGGAAAATAACGTGAAGGATACCCAGGAATGTATTAAAAATATAAAGTGTGATGAAGTGTATGAACAAGACTGTGCAAACGGTGCTAAATTTCCCAGTAATGGACATGCTGTTGCACCTATTCATAAGAACGGGTGCGTGAAAGGAAGAGCTCAGACGTATCAAGAAGCGCATTTAGCGCCCGAGAAAAAACAAAACGGTCATTTGCTTGGAAAGACTCGTTTTAAGACATCTGAAACAAACGCTGAACAATGCCAGTGTGAGTTACAAGCTGTAAATAGAACGAATTGTCACTGCGGCAACGTTGACAATCAATTTTCAAAACAGAGTTCTACGCAAGAAGTTGTTGGTGAAAATCCATTACTTGATAGGAACCAAACGTACCTAAGAACTGCGGGAAATGGACGGTCTTCTAATTCTTGTAGCGATGGGGAAGTTTTCTTTTCTTAGCTTAATAGCATAGATTGGTGTTTTAATTATTTTTAAATTATTTTTTAAATTTTTATGACTTGAATGTTAACCGTAGAGCTTGGCCCGCTTATTTATATGATTCCGTTCATAACATTACGTTGTCGATCACCTACGTTCTCATTTGGTGTAAAAATAACGCGGTTGGGTATATTTTAACTCACTAGCGACACAATCACAAATAAAAAGATTACAATGTGTACAGTTAAATAAGCATTCTCATCTGAGACTTTTACAACTAGAAAAACCTTAGCCTGTCCCAGGCTCCATGCGAAAGCGTCTCGAAAGAAGTTGCTCGAAAACAACGTTGGAGGCAGGGGAGGGACGAGAAAGTGGACCCTGTAAGCATTGTTTTCAATACCCAGGCTAGGAGTACAAGCCTATGACTAGTCATGGGTTCCTGCAATACCTCATTCCCGTATACCAGCTCCTGGTGTACCTCGTATACCGTAAATCTCCTTTTAAGCCGCTCGTGGGGGCTTATTTATTTCAAACACATTTAAGGGGGGCTTAATAGAGACGGGGGACTTATTTAATTTCGCAAAGATGATGGTATCAGTTCTCCTTAAAGAAATAGAATGCAAAGTGGAAAAGCTCATTTCCAACACTCTTGGAAGTCACACTTCCAGCTGGTGAATAACCATCCTGGATTGGCCCACATGAAGCTTTACGGTCATGATTGATTAATATAGTCTATTAATTAGGGGCCGGAAGGGAGGGGAAGCTTACTAAATTTCTTTCTCTGAAAAAGAAGGGCTTAGTAGAGGATTTGGGAGAGCTTGATAGAAGATTTACGGTAATTTATATGACTGGTCAATATTGGCAGTTTATGTCAATACTTACGTCACTTGGCTTCGCGCGCGGAGTCGGGAAATCACAAGCCTGTGAAAGCTGAAATGATCCTCGCAGTTGAATAAACAATCTAAGTGGTTGAAAAAAGAACCTGATAAAAGGCTTGACTGGCAATCGAACCCTGACCTATGCGGTGACGGGACGCAATGCTCCATCCACCAAGCTAATCAAGCCAACTGGAGAGCAGGACATTGTGAGAGAGCAGGCCGATTCCAGGAATCCCGATTCCCGGGGCCCGATTAAGCCACAATTTTTTCAGGTTCTTTATCCCTAATCCTGGGCTAGATTTGATTTTGAGATAGCAAATAAAAGGCTCCTCCCGCGCTTGCATGTTAGTCGTTACGCTGGACATGGCTAACGCGGACGCTGGCAGCGATATTGCCCACGCAACAACTTCAGGTTGACTACCAGCCTAAGCTCGCCACCGGGGCCTTTCCATTGGAAAATAGGTAAGGGACTAGCCATCAGCTATTATCAGTCATCCGACTGATAAAGAGAGAGATTTAGGAGCACAATTTTTCAGTGACGGCAATTTGTACCACATCACAATAAAGTCTGCCTCTAATCCAGGTTAACTCTCGGCGTCATGATATCTGCACATCAATAAGTAGCTCCATACCTGTCGAGTGTGACAAGCGAGCGAGGAGCAAGGCAAGCGCGTAGAGTGGTGTGAGCTAAGGCGAGCTAAGGGCCCTTCTAGGACCCACGAACGCGCGGGAAACGGGGATGGCGGGACGCGCGAGTCTACATAATGCGGCCTTGTATGCAAATGAGCGTAGTAACCAGCCCGAGGGACCTTCCCGAACAGCTGAATCAACAAAGAAGACAGCCAAACCAAAAGAGCAACGTATGTACAAGTAATGTATGAATTATTCAACACAAACGAACACCAATGGAGATTCGAGAATTTTTCCAAAGCCGCTGGCAAAGAACAATCGATGGTTAAATTAACCGGTCTGAGTTGGCGTGATTTATTTGAATGATGAAAGTCGCTTTGCTATATTTACGTCCTTGTTGGTCGTCAACAATCTGTCATGTCGGCAGCAACTCATCGGAAATCTCATTCCTTCGAAGACGTAGATAGCCATCATGGTCGTTTGAACCCGTCCAGCGTGGCTGTTGAAGAAGGAGCTCGCTACACTAGTAGTTTCAGGCGAAAAATGAAATCTATGCGGGGATTGAGATTTCGCCCTATAATCCCAGCAATTATTGGAGTGAGTCTTGGTTTCGCCTTGTCAATGTTCTATATTCCTGTTGTTGAACAACAATGTTTGTACGATTTAGAAGAATCACAAGTTATAATTTTAGGACATAAACAACCCGGCTTGTCTGATTCCAGAAAAGCAAAAAGCGAGGAAGTCAACTCAAAACCCATCTTGCATAACACCGTTGCTCCGAAAGTGTCCCACTATGGTTACAGTTTACGTCCATTTTACGTTGCTAGTGAACTTGGTCATAGAGACAAATTGCTCGTTGGTATTTTAACAACGGAAGAGAAAATTGATTCATTGGTCTTAGCTATAAACAATACCTGGGCTCCGCTTTTGCCGAAAATTATCTTCTTCACTCCATTCTCGAGGGATGTCGATTTTTACGAGAAGTACAACAAGGTTTTGGGGCTTCCAATCGTTCAGTTACCTAATGTGGAAGATGAGAATTTTTCCAAGACAAAATTTTCTTTCAATATGTTAAAATATATGCACGATCATTACATTAACAATTACGAGTGGTTTATGAGAGTCGAGGATGCGATGTATCTCAAGGCGGAGAAACTATTGGAGTTGCTGAACAGCGTGAATAGTTCTAAAGATGTTTACATCGGAAGGCCGGGTTCTTACAAAGCTAATGGGATACAAGTAAACGAAGATCTATATACCCAGGAGAAATACTGCCTGGGAAACGCTGGAGTTGTGCTTTCAAGAAGCACCCTTATGAAGCTGGTACCGAACTTGGATACTTGTCAAGAAGACGCCTTGACTGAGCTTGAAGACGTGGAGTTGGGGCGATGTTTGTATAAGAATCTTGGGCTTCAGTGTACGTGGAGTTACGAGGTGAGGTCATCTTTTTAGGATTTTTATTCTAAAAGTTTTCCAATAACATTTTAGCATTGTTATTTACAAATCACCCGCTGTGTCGATAAAAATTCATGTTTTCAACAATGTCAATTAGCGCACTATGGCAGAAATAATTTAACTAACTAAGGTTAATTGAATTCAGTTTTTTGTATGTATGGCCTAATTCCTTCCCTTACTCATTTTGTATTTTTTAATTTCTCGTTTGTGTCATAACTTGATTTACAGTCAAAAGGTAACAGTTTACACAGGTGTAAGTCAGGTTGTTTGTTTATGTCCTTATGAAGTGATTTTAACATTTCTGTATTAAAAAAGCCAAAACAATGGAACAAAAAACATTCGTCACACTTTAAGGATTGCAAATATTTCATTTCCTAGCAACAGTACAGGTATCCCCAGAAAAGCAGAAAGCAGGAAAAATTTGCACTTTATTTAGACAAAATCTTTAAGACCTAGATCAGAGTTGTATTGATTAATTTAGAAAGACCTAATGGTCCGTCATGGGTAATAATTAAGAGAGAACTTTTGTTCATTGAAGCAAACTCACTTCAAGAGTTTGAGGTGGGTGTAAGATACATTTAGTTTCAAACTAAAGGCCGGAAGGGGGGCACTATAGACTTTCCTTGGCCCTTGTCCAACCAGCACATGAGCATGAAAAGTTACTTCCCAGGAAGTAAAAGGAAAATCTAAAATTGTCCCAGACTACTAGAAAGGACTCCACTTACATGCAACAACAACAACATCTTTTGTTTAAACACGGTGGGTCTTAAAGCTAATATAGCTTATGGGGCCCGTGTAAAAAATGTTAATAAAATAATAAAAATTATTTTTAAAAAAAATGAATGTGGTCAATAAAAGGTGAAATATGTACAACAAAAAATATGAATAGAATCAATAAAAGACAAAATCACTGTCAATTTGGGCACAGCCCATTTGCAATGACTCTTCATTAAAGTTCAAGTTTCTGAGGGTGTGAGACTTTTTTGCCCTTTCGCATAATTCCTGGCGCTGACAGCGGATGGTTCTAAAAGATTCCAGATAATGGATCCTCTGTAAGAAATACAGTTTTTCATATAATAAGTTTCAAGACGTTGTACTCTAACACGATGTTGATGACAAAGGTCATACTTAGATTCTTTCCTCTGGATTAAAGGCATTGCAAGATTTTTTTAAGTATTCTTTCTATATCTTTATTTGTAGGCATCAGATTTGTTTTATCACTTCCCTGAAGAGAGTGAATCTAGCATAATGAGTTTCATTAAAGAGAGGAGAACATCTCATACTGTTACGTTGTCCCCCATCTCTAATCCTGTGACTATGTACAAAATACATCGCTATCTCACCGAGTTGGAACTTAATAAGACCTTTGTGGAAACAAGAACTCTTCAGAATGCCATTAAAGACATGTTGCCATATTTACCAGATGGTAAGTACAGGATAATTTTACAACTTCTTGTGTAGTTTCTTTTAACCAGGTTTTCAGGTGGGTTTTGAGATTCTCAGTCATTCTCAGACAATTAGAGAGACAACAAGTGACTGAACTGGCTTTCTGTTAAGAATTAGGCTATTGTCATTTGCAAGTTGTTCTCCAGGGCCGGATTGTTCGAAGCTGGGTTAACGAAACCCAGGTTTAGTGCAAAATTTGAACTCGCTTATGAGAGCTTAAAAAGCAAATTCAGTTTAATTCTCTTTTCTTACAATTTGATGATTGGATACTCTAAAAAGAATAGAGAAAATTATCCGAGAGAGTGCTTTTGGTAAATAGAAAAAGAAACCCAGGTTAAAATTTAACCACGGGTTAGCGCTAACCGGCGTTTGAACAACTGGGCCCAGTTGGAGAGCAAGGGTGGCACAATGGTGTGGCCTAGGGTCAAGTCCAAGTATCAACCCCATATACGTTCCTAGGGGAGGAGGATATGTCCCTAAATTTACTATGGGGGTGTGCCACTTAATTTTTGACATTCTGGACCTGTTCAATTTGGAAAGAGATGAATTTTGCGACCCTGTTCAGAGACAAAATAAAAAAAATATGTATTTTAGGCTAGGCAGGCTGAAATTATAGGGAGATAGCTGAAATAGGAATCCTGTTTCAGTGGCCAGCTCAGTGTTAAAATGATGAAGGGAGTGCAGTTTTGCACCTAAGCCTTATCAAGTACAATGCAGGATTACCGTAAATGACCTAATAAACGCCCATTTCCAAATTAAAGCCTCTTATCTAATAAACGCCCAATCTACGCTGTTAACATTTTATTAAATGCCCCTCTCAAGTAAATGGCCCCTGTCTAATAAAGGCCTCCTTGTGAGAACTACTCCAAAATATGAGAAATTAGCTAAAAGGAGCAAAATCATTCAATTCATACAGTTGATTAACAATACTGTGCATGTTTCATCTTGTTCAATGTCAAGTTCCAAGTAAGGATAGACTAATGATGGCAACACAAAAACCCTAAGCTAGGATTCTGAAATCGATGTTGGAATTTGAAAGAGTGATATGTATCTGTAGACAGCCTAGATGTATGAAGAGAGATGATTTTTATCCCCTTTAGTTATTTTATTTTCTTTGTTATTTAGTCACTCACATAACATAACATTAAAATGTTACAAAAGTTGTTGATTGAAATGTAAGTTAATGTGACAAGGAACCCTAAAGAAACTGGGAGCTTATATTAATAGGCCTCCTTAAGCTAGATTGCAAAGGCTTATTTGATTGCAGACTGTACAGAAAACATAAAACTTTAGGGACAGAGCAACTATCAATGGGATAATTTTTCAGATTTAAAAAAAACAAATTTGAAAGAAGAGCTGGTTAGTGAAATAGGCAACAAATTCCAGATTGTTGGTTCTCCATAAAGGATACTGAACTGTTTTATATTAGTTCTACAAATATGGCTGGTCGAGTTTCATAATGGTAAACCTGACTACTACTTAGAAAGAGGTTGCGAAAGCTACTAGGCAGAAGATTATGGTGATACGAATACATAAATGTAGCAACAGAAAGAGAATTAAAGCCTTATATGTCAAGGACTTTAAGTTGGCTAAATGATGCAGCGGGTTTTGCTAGATAGTGAGAGCTTCTCAGGACATCCAAAGCACCCAAACGCGTCGTACACTGTATCTTTCTATCGTCCGGTGCCGCCTCTGCTACGTAACCGAAGTATGGTCACCAAAGTCAATTGGCTTACTAAAGCGTGTTGAGAACGTGCAGCGCCGTGCAACAAAACCAATTTTAAAGCTTGCCTTCCGTTGGAATGCAACCTATAAGTCCCGCCTCCAACTAACTGACAAATCTTTTGCCCATCTTATACTGGCAAGAATTTTTGGATATATTGTTTTTCTATAAAGCTGTAAATAACCTAGTTTTTGTAGATGGTGAAGCTCTGCCTCTTACTAGACAATTAACGAGATTTACTAGGTCATCGAGTCGCAATGCTATATATCCCTAAAACCAAGTAGAACTGTTACTTATCAACGCTCATTTTTCATCCCGCGTGCCGCACATGGAATGTTCTGCCCTGAGTTACGCACAAATCACATTTCTCTAGCTTCTTTTAAACGTTTAGGCCTCTGTACAACGCTAACGAAATCAGAACCAGGAGAACAATCTGCCCCAGGAGCAATATAGCGAGGACTCTCCTGCGCCTGTCGTCGTTCTTAGCAATTTGAACTTCCGTCTTTGTCTTTTTTTTCCTGTTTATTAGTGGCCTTAGTCATTAGTTATATATTTCATTTTTATTTGTATTTTTAACCTTGGATCCTCTGTAATTGGCTAGGCTGAAGTAGTCTCCCTGCTTAATATTTTTTTGTATATGAGTGTTGTTTTCTAGTTAGGCGAAACTAAATAAATAAATGTTCATTACTCCATTATATAATAGAGGGAATGGAAGAATTAGTACTTCATAATTAAGCTGTTTGACAAAAAGAGGCCAAACTAAGGCAAAAAAAACCTAAACAAGCAATTACAAAACTACTTGGCAAGCAACTCTTGTTAAAACGGGCGACCACTTACTTTGCGTGTAGACCAAGATAAGATTCTTTAACTCGCTTGAAAGAGTAGCGTGTTGTGATTGAGATGAAGATAAAACGCCAGATTTGAAAAGTGATCAAAGCAAGACAACTTTAACGAAGGCGTGGCTTTTTTGTTCTATCCGAAGCTGGAAGACGTGGAGTTTTGTTGAATTTTTGTTCATTGACAGCCGAGCAAACTGTTTAGAATAAAGATAAACACGAAGGTTAAAACTGAAGTTTTGGCTACGCTTTCTTGGTAAATTTGTGATATTCGAGGGAGCGGTTAATCTGACACTAATAAGCGACGCAAATATTGTGCTCAAGAAGGCATGTGTCTTCTCTTTAAAAAATGAAAAAAAACCGGCGCCTTCATCTTGGATTTCGTCAGGCCACACTACCGCTCGTAATGTGTTAATTTTTCGTCCCGATTATATAGCGTAATCGTATACCGCAATGGTACAATTAGAACAGAAAATTGCCTTAAACGGTTGCTGACAAAACCGAGATTGACTTGATTTACTCGTGCAACAGACGTATAAATATAACGACCATTTTTGAAAACATCCTATACTTTTACACAAATTGTGATAGTAGAATTTCGCTATAGGAAACAAACGTCCTAGGGGTTTCTTTGTCGGTTGTCTCGGGCATGTTTCCCGAAAATTTAGCTCCTGCACCTCAATATAATATCCCTGAATTTGCTCATGAAAGGAAACACAGTGGAACGTCATTCTAAATGTCTCGAAAGTTTTTTCCCACTCATTGCTTATCCGTGATACAATACAATAACCCCCGAAGTGACCCGTCGTCAGGTGATAGCCTGTAGTTTGTGTCATGATCCGGGGGGAGTAACAATTCCCTATACACTGCCTCTCAGGGAAAGTGCAGCTTTATCAGGCTTCAGCTATATAGAAGGGTAGGGTTTGGGATTTTACGAGTTGAAGCATATGAAAGGTCAGTAAACTTTAAACTATTGCGAACAGAAACACCTTCAATTAATTAAACGCTACATGAAAAAGACAAGAAGGTTTTTTTGGCGATTTCTTCATTCCAAGGGTTTGGAAAAAGAAGGGAAGTTGGTTTTTGGAAGGAAGACAATTTTTCCAGGAAAGGTGTACTAAAGAGTACCTTTTCCTTCAAAACTGTACGAGAGGGTTGGGGTTTGGACGGCTTGGAGTGAGCCTAGGCTTTTGTACATCTGATGCTAGCATTTTTTCGAGCATTTTAGTAAGGCAAAAGCATTGAGCATTATTCGAGCATTTTAGTGGCATTTTCCCCGGAACATTAATTTTTCCGAGAAAATAAAATAGAAATTAACTTTTTTCAGGAACCCATGCCCCATGAGCTCCTGTTTTCTTAAGCAAAACGAAGACTAAAACTCAAAATTTACAAAAAACCTAATATAGCTGTTTTTTTTGCTGTATTTATGAACTTGTACACGTTGTCGTTGTTACTTGCAACACTTGCACGTTTTTTTAAGTATAAACTTTGAAATTAATTAACAAAAAACCGTTTGTATAATGAGCATTGTCCGAGCATTTTAGTGACTTTTTTGGGGAGACCGAGCATTTTAGTTGGAAAAATGGAGCATTAAGGTGGAGCATTTTAGTAGGGAAAGTAAAAGCATAATGTACAAAAGCCTAAGTGGGCCGCCGTTTAAATGACTTTGTTGACTACTCCACTCAACCCCCCTCGCGGAGTCATGCTGGTCCACTGATTGAGCATTCCTTTTTTTCTCAGGGGTCCCCGAGAAACGACCATCGTGGCCAATAGGATTTCGGCAGCCATTCAAGCCTACGTCTCGGTTTGAGGTCTTACAGTGGGAGTACTTCACTGCTACTTCAAGTTACGGCTTCACAGAGACCAATCCTAAGGTAAGAATTTGATTTGGGGGTCATCTGATCGATTTCCTTGTTATTAAGGCAGTCAACGCGTGTGAAACACATAATCTCGTGCCCAGAATTCTAATCGACTGTACGAAATTATGGAACACGGTCTTTTCCCAACGCAATGAACCAAAACCTTGTCAAACGTTGTCTTCTTGAGTCATTCGGGAGCTTAAGCAGCCACAACGCCTGCGGCAGTTGAAACGTCACTAAAAAAATTGAATGTGCGTTTATTCAAATTTTATTACGTTTATTTAGCCCCTTGCAATTATTCAATTATTGGAGTATCATGGGTAACATGAGAAAACAGCCAACATCTCACGACGCCAACACTGGTTTCCACGCGACGTGACGTCTGAGAAACTGAACGAGCGCAGAAATTCCATACTGATGACGTGTGACGTGTGGGTAGTGCTTCTAACTGGATGAAGCAAATTTTCAACCAATCAGAAGCATTATCCAGATTCTTGATGATCGTAAAACACGTTTTTTTTTTCATGATCAGGTGGCTTTGCGAGGGGACTACAAAAAAGATGTTGAAGATGTCAAAGAAACAGCGATAAAAATGCTATCACGAGAATACAGTAACCAGGATAAAGAGTTCCGCTTGATCAATGATTTTTATTCTAAAAGTTTTCCAATAACATTTTAGCATTGTTATTTACAAATCACCCGCTGTGTCGATAAAAATTCATGTTTTCAACAATGTCAATTAGCGCACTATGGCAGAAATAATTTAACTAACTAAGATTAATTGAATTCAGTTTTTTGTATGTATGGCCTAATTCCTTCCCTTACTCATTTTGTATTTTTTAATTTCTCGTTTGTGTCATAACTTGTTTTCCATAAAAAGTTAACAGTTTACACAGGTGTAAGTCAGGTTGTTTGTTTATGTCCTTATGAAGTGATTTGAACACTTCTGTATTAAAAAAGCCAAAACAATGGAACAAAAAACATTCGTCACACTTTGAGGATTGCAAATATTTCATTTCCTGGCAACAGTACAGGTATCCCCAGAAAAGCAGAAAGCAGGAAAAATTTGCACTTTATTTAGACAAAATCTTTAAGACCTAGATCAGAGTTGTATTGATTAATTTAGAAAGACCTAATGCTCCGTCATGTGTAATAATTAAGAGAGAACTTTTGTTCATTGAAGCAAACTCACTTCAAGAGTTTGAGGTGGGTGTAAGATACGTTTAGTTTCAAACTAAAGGCCGGAAGGGGGGCATTATAGACTTTCCTTGGCCCTTGTCCAACCAGCACATGGGCATGAAAAGTTACTTCCCAGGAAGTAAAAGGAAAATCTAAAATTGTCCCAGACTACTAGAAAGGACTCCACTTACATGCAACAACAACAACATCTTTTACTTAAACACGGTGGGTCTTAAAGCTAATATAGCTTATGGGGCCATGTAAAAAATGTTAATAAAATAATGAAAATTATTTTTTAAAAAAATGAATGTGGTCAATAAAAGGTGAAATATGTACAACAAAAAATATCAATAGAATCAATAAAAGACAAAATCACTGTCAATTTGGGGACAGCCCATTTGCAATGACTCTTCATTAAAGTTCAAGTTTCTGAGGGTGTGAGACTTTTTTGCCCTTTAGCATAATTCCTGGCGCTGACAGCGGATGGTTCTAAAAGATTCCAGATAATGGATCCTCTGTAAGAAATACAGTTTTTCATATAATAAGTTTCAAAACGTTGTACGCTAACACGATATTGATGACGGAAGTCATACTCAGATTCTTTCCTTTGGATTAAATGCATTGCGAGATTTTTTTAAGTATTCTTTTTATATCTTTATTTCTAGGCGTCAGATTTGTTTTATCACTTCCCTGAAGAGAGTGAATCTAGCATAATGAGTTTCATTAAAGAGAGGAGAACATCTCATACTGTTACGTTGTCCCCCATCTCTAATCCTGTGACTATGTACAAAATACATCGCTATCTCACCGAGTTGGAACTAAATAAGACTTTTGTGGAAACAAGAACTCTTCAGAATGCCATTAAAGACATGTTGCCATATTTACCAGATGGTAAGTACAGGATAATTTTAAAACTTCTTGTGTAGTTTCTTTTAACCAGGTTTGTAGGTGAGTTTTGAGATTCTCAGTCATTCTCAGACAATTAGAGAGACAACAAATGACTGAAAAAGCTTCCTGTTAAGAATTAGGCTAATGTCATTTGCAAGTTGTTCTCCAGGGCTGGTTTGTTCGAAGCTGGGTTAAGGTAACCCAGGTTTAGTGCAAAATTTGAACTCGCTTATGAGAGCTTAAAAAGCAAATTCAGTTTAATTCTCTTTGCTTACAATTTGATGATTGGATACTCTAAAAAGAATAGAAAACATTAGCTGAGAGAGTGCTTTTGATAAATAGAAAAAGAAACCCAGGTTAAAATTTAACCAGGGGTTAGAGCTAACCGGCGTTTGAACAACTGGGCCCAGTTGGAGAGCAAGGGTGGCACAATGGTGTGGCCTAGGGTCAAGTCCAAGTATCAACCCCATATACGTTCCTAGGGGAGGAGGATATGTCCCTAAATTTACTATGGGGGTGTGCCACTGAATCTTTGACACTCTGGACCTGTTCAATTTGGAAAGAGATGAATTTGCTACCCTGTTCAAAGACAAAATAAAAAAAATACGTATTTTAGGCTAGGCAGGCCGAAATTATAGGGAGATAGCTGAAATAGGAATCCTGTTCCAGTGGCCAGCTCAGTGTTAAAATGATGAAGGGAGTGCAGTTTTGCACCTAAGCCTTATCAAGTACAATGCAGGATTACCGTAAATGACCTAATAAACGCCCATTTCCAAATTAAAGCCTCTTATCTAATAAACGCCCAATCTACGCTGTTAACATTTTATTAAATGCCCCTCTCAAGTAAATGGCCCCTGTCTAATAAAGGCCTCCTTGTGAGAACTACTCCAAAATATGAGAAATTAGCTAAAAGGAGCAAAATCATTCAATTCATACAGTTGATTAACAATACTGTGCATGTTTCATCTTGTTCAATGTCAAGTTCCAAGTAAGGATAGACTAATGATGGCAACACAAAAACCCTAAGCTAGGATTCTGAAATCGATGTTGGAATTTGACAGAGTAATATGGATCTGTAGACAGCCTAGTTGTATGAAGAGAGATGATTTTTATCCCCTTTATTAATGTTATTTTATTTTATTTGTTATATAGTCACTCACATAACATAACATTAAAAATGTTACAAAAGTTGTCGATTGAAATGTAAGTTTATGTGACAAGGAAGCCCAAAGAAGCTAGGAGCTTATTTTAATAGGCCTCCTTAACCCTTTAAGCCACATACAAATTCTCTAGAGTGATCTCCACCCATTTCTTTTAAGAATAGTTGAGAGAAATTGGTTTAAGATCGAAGCATTCTCCCTTTAGTAATCAATTTAGTGATTCTCATAACCTTTACTCTTGATGATCTACTGATGTTTTTAGGAGAAAATTGATGTTAGTCATTCTTGGGGCCTAAAGGGTTAAGCTAGATTTCAAAGGCTTACTTGATTGTAGACTGTACAGAAAACATAAAACTTTAGGGACAGATTGACTATCAATGAGATAATTTTTCAGATTTTTTTTAAAAAGAAACTTGGAAGAAGAGCTGGTTAGTGAAATAGGCAACGAATTCCAGATTATTGGTCCTTCATAACGGATACTGAACTGCTTTATATTAGTTCTACAAAAATGGCTGGTCAAGTTTCATAATGGTGAACCTGACTACTACTTAGAAAGAAGTTGCGAAAGCTACTAGGCAGAAGATTATGGTGATACGAATACATAAATGTAGCAACAGAAAAAGAATTAATGCCTTATATGTCAAGGACTTTACGTTGGCTAAATGATGGAGCGGGATTTGCTAAATAGTGAGAGCTTCTCAGTACATCCAAAGCACCCAAACGCGTCGTACACTGTATCTTTCTATCGTCCGGTGCCGCCTCTGCTACGCAACCGAAGTATGGTCACCAAAGTAAATTGGCTTACTAAAGCGAGTTGAGAACGTGCAGCGCCGTGCAACAAAACCAATTTTAAAGCTTCCCTTCCGTTGCAATACAACCTATAAGTCCCGCCTCCAACTAACTGACAAATCTTTTGTCCATCTTATACTGGCAAGAATTTTTGGATATATTGTTTTTCTATAAAGCTGTAAATAACCTAGTTTTTGTAGATAGTGAAGCTCTGCCTATTACTCGACAATTAACGAGATTTACTAGGTCATCGAGTCGCAATGCTATATATCCCTAAAACCAAGTAGAACTGTTACTTATCAACGCTCATTTTTCATCCCGCGTGCCGCACATGGAATGTTCTTCCCTGAGTTACGCACAAATCACATTTCTCTTGCTTCTTTTAAACGTTTAGGCCTCTGTACAACGCTAACGAAATCAGAACCAGGAGAACAATCTGTCCCAGGTGCAATATAGCGAGGACTCTCCTGCTCCCGCTATCGTGCTTAGGAATTGGAACTTCGTCTTTGTCTTTTTTTCCTGTTTATTAGTAGCGTTAGTCATTGGTTATATATTTGATTTTTATTTATTTTTTAACCTGGGATCCTCTGTAATTGGCTTGGCTGTAGTAGTCTCCCTGCCTAATAATTTTTTGTATATAAATATTGTTTTCTAGTTAGGCGAAGCGAAATAAATAAATGTCCATTACTCCATTATATAAAAGGGGGAATGGAGGAATTAGTACTTCATAATTAAGCTGTTTTACAAAAACAGGCCAAACTAAGGCAAAAAAAAACCTAAACAAGCTGTTACAAGACTACATGGCAAGCAACTCTTGTTAAAATAAGCGACCACTTACTTTGCGTGTAGACCAAGATAAGATTCTTTAAATCGCTTGAAAGGGCAGCGTGTTGTGATTGAGATGAAGATAAAACGCCAGAGTGAAAACTGATCAAAACAAAACATCAGATTTGTTTTATCACTTCCCTGAAGAGAGTGAATCTAGCATAATGAGTTTCATTAAAGAGAGGAGAACATCTCATACTGTTACGTTGTCCCCCATCTCTAATCCTGTGACTATGTACAAAATACATCGCTATCTCACCGAGTTGGAACTAAATAAGACTTTTGTGGAAACAAGAACTCTTCAGAATGCCATTAAAGACATGTTGCCATATTTACCAGATGGTAAGTACAGGATAATTTTAAAACTTCTTGTGTAGTTTCTTTTAACCAGGTTTGTAGGTGAGTTTTGAGATTCTCAGTCATTCTCAGACAATTAGAGAGACAACAAATGACTGAAAAAGCTTCCTGTTAAGAATTAGGCTAATGTCATTTGCAAGTTGTTCTCCAGGGCTGGTTTGTTCGAAGCTGGGTTAAGGTAACCCAGGTTTAGTGCAAAATTTGAACTCGCTTATGAGAGCTTAAAAAGCAAATTCAGTTTAATTCTCTTTGCTTACAATTTGATGATTGGATACTCTAAAAAGAATAGAAAACATTAGCTGAGAGAGTGCTTTTGATAAATAGAAAAAGAAACCCAGGTTAAAATTTAACCAGGGGTTAGAGCTAACCGGCGTTTGAACAACTGGGCCCAGTTGGAGAGCAAGGGTGGCACAATGGTGTGGCCTAGGGTCAAGTCCAAGTATCAACCCCATATACGTTCCTAGGGGAGGAGGATATGTCCCTAAATTTACTATGGGGGTGTGCCACTTAATTTTTGACATTCTGGACCTGTTCAATTTGGAAAGAGATGAATTTTGCGACCCTGTTCAGAGACAAAATAAAAAAAATATGTATTTTAGGCTAGGCAGGCTGAAATTATAGGGAGATAGCTGAAATAGGAATCCTGTTTCAGTGGCCAGCTCAGTGTTAAAATGATGAAGGGAGTGCAGTTTTGCACCTAAGCCTTATCAAGTACAATGCAGGATTACCGTAAATGACCTAATAAACGCCCATTTCCAAATTAAAGCCTCTTATCTAATAAACGCCCAATCTACGCTGTTAACATTTTATTAAATGCCCCTCTCAAGTAAATGGCCCCTGTCTAATAAAGGCCTCCTTGTGAGAACTACTCCAAAATATGAGAAATTAGCTAAAAGGAGCAAAATCATTCAATTCATACAGTTGATTAACAATACTGTGCATGTTTCATCTTGTTCAATGTCAAGTTCCAAGTAAGGATAGACTAATGATGGCAACACAAAAACCCTAAGCTAGGATTCTGAAATCGATGTTGGAATTTGACAGAGTAATATGGATCTGTAGACAGCCTAGTTGTATGAAGAGAGATGATTTTTATCCCCTTTATTCATGTTATTTTATTTTATTTGTTATATAGTCACTCACATAACATAACATTAAAAATGTTACAAAAGTTGTCGATTGAAATGTAAGTTTATGTGACAAGGAAGCCCAAAGAAGCTAGGAGCTTATTTTAATAGGCCTCCTTAACCCTTTAAGCCACATACAAATTCTCTAGAGTGATCTCCACCCATTTCTTTTAAGAATAGTTGAGAGAAATTGGTTTAAGATCGAAGCATTCTCCCTTTAGTAATCAATTTAGTGATTCTCATAACCTTTACTCTTGATGATCTACTGATGTTTTTAGGAGAAAATTGATGTTAGTCATTCTTGGGGCCTAAAGGGTTAAGCTAGATTTCAAAGGCTTACTTGATTGTAGACTGTACAGAAAACATAAAACTTTAGGGACAGATTGACTATCAATGAGATAATTTTTCAGATTTTTTTTAAAAAGAAACTTGGAAGAAGAGCTGGTTAGTGAAATAGGCAACGAATTCCAGATTATTGGTCCTTCATAACGGATACTGAACTGCTTTATATTAGTTCTACAAAAATGGCTGGTCAAGTTTCATAATGGTGAACCTGACTACTACTTAGAAAGAAGTTGCGAAAGCTACTAGGCAGAAGATTATGGTGATACGAATACATAAATGTAGCAACAGAAAAAGAATTAATGCCTTATATGTCAAGGACTTTACGTTGGCTAAATGATGGAGCGGGATTTGCTAAATAGTGAGAGCTTCTCAGTACATCCAAAGCACCCAAACGCGTCGTACACTGTATCTTTCTATCGTCCGGTGCCGCCTCTGCTACGCAACCGAAGTATGGTCACCAAAGTAAATTGGCTTACTAAAGCGAGTTGAGAACGTGCAGCGCCGTGCAACAAAACCAATTTTAAAGCTTCCCTTCCGTTGCAATACAACCTATAAGTCCCGCCTCCAACTAACTGACAAATCTTTTGTCCATCTTATACTGGCAAGAATTTTTGGATATATTGTTTTTCTATAAAGCTGTAAATAACCTAGTTTTTGTAGATAGTGAAGCTCTGCCTATTACTCGACAATTAACGAGATTTACTAGGTCATCGAGTCGCAATGCTATATATCCCTAAAACCAAGTAGAACTGTTACTTATCAACGCTCATTTTTCATCCCGCGTGCCGCACATGGAATGTTCTTCCCTGAGTTACGCACAAATCACATTTCTCTTGCTTCTTTTAAACGTTTAGGCCTCTGTACAACGCTAACGAAATCAGAACCAGGAGAACAATCTGTCCCAGGTGCAATATAGCGAGGACTCTCCTGCTCCCGCTATCGTGCTTAGGAATTGGAACTTCGTCTTTGTCTTTTTTTCCTGTTTATTAGTAGCGTTAGTCATTGGTTATATATTTGATTTTTATTTATTTTTTAACCTGGGATCCTCTGTAATTGGCTTGGCTGTAGTAGTCTCCCTGCCTAATAATTTTTTGTATATAAATATTGTTTTCTAGTTAGGCGAAGCGAAATAAATAAATGTCCATTACTCCATTATATAAAAGGGGGAATGGAGGAATTAGTACTTCATAATTAAGCTGTTTTACAAAAACAGGCCAAACTAAGGCAAAAAAAAACCTAAACAAGCTGTTACAAGACTACATGGCAAGCAACTCTTGTTAAAATAAGCGACCACTTACTTTGCGTGTAGACCAAGATAAGATTCTTTAAATCGCTTGAAAGGGCAGCGTGTTGTGATTGAGATGAAGATAAAACGCCAGAGTGAAAACTGATCAAAACAAAACATCTTTAACGAAGGCTTTTTTGTTCTATCCGAGGATGGAAGACAGTGGAGTTTTGTTGAATTTTTGTTCAGTGACAGCCGAGCAAACTGTTTAGAATGAAGATAAACACGAAGGTTAAAACTGAAGTTTTGGCTAAGCTTTCTTGGTAAATTTGTGATATTCGAGGGAGCGGTTAATCTGACACTTATAAACGACGCAAATATTGTGCTCAAGAAGGCATGTTTCTTCTCTCTAATAAATGAAAAAAAACCCCGGCTCTTTCATCTTGGATTTCGTCAGGCCACACTGCCGCTCGTAATGTTTTAATTTTTTGTCCCGATTATATAGCGTAATCGTATACCGCAATGGTACAATTAGAACAGAAAATTGCCTTAAACGGTTGCTGACAAAACCGAGATTTACTTAGTCTGCTACACAGCCGTTTTTAGTGTCGTCACGCAAAGCTCCTCCCCACTAACGGCGTTAGTGGGGAGGAGCGTTGCGTGACGACACTAAAAACGGCTGTGTAGCAGACTAAGATTTACTTGATTTACTCGTTTAACAGACGTATAAATATAACGACCATTTTTGAAAACATCCTATACTTTTACACAAATTGTGATAGTAGAATTTCGCTATAGGAAACAAACGTCTTAGGGATTTCTTTGTCGGTTGTCTCGGGCATGTTTCCCGAAAATTTAGCTCCTGCACCTCAATATAATATCCTTGAATTTGCTCATGAAAGGAAAGACAGTGGAACGTCATTCTAAATGTCTCGAAAGTTTTTTCCCACTCATTGCTTATCCGTGATACAATACAATAACCCCCGAAGTGCCCCGTCGTCAGGTGAAAGCCTGTAGTTTGTGTCATGATCCGGGGGGAGTAGCAATTCCCTATACACTGCCTGTCAGGGAAACTGCACCTTTACCAGGCTTCAGCTATATAGAAGGGTAGGGTTTGGGATTTTACGAGTTGAATCATATGAAAGGTCAGTAAACTTTAAACTATTGCGAACAGAAACGCCTTCAATTAATTAAACGCTACATGAAAAAGACAAGAAGGTTTTTTTGGCGATTTCTTCATTCCAAGGGTTTGGAAAAAGAAGGGAAGTTGGTTTGTGGAACGAAGACAATTTTTCCAGGAAAGGTGTACTAAAGAGTACCTTTTCCTTCAAAACTGTGCGAGAGGGTTGGGGGTTGGACGGCTTGGAGTGGGCCGCCGTATAAATGACTTCGTTGACTACTCCACTGAACCCCCCTCGCGGAGTCATGCTGGTCCACTGATAGAGCATTCCTTTTTTTTCTCAGGGGTCCCCGAGAAACGACCATCGTGGCCGATAGGATTTCGGCAGCCATTCAAGCCTACGTCTCGGTTTGAGGTCTTACAGTGGGAGTACTTCACTGATACTTCTAGTTACGGCTTCACAGAGACCAATCCTAAGGTAAGAATTTGATTTGGGGGTCATCTGATCAATTTCCTTGTTATTAAGGTAGTCAACGCGCGTGAAACACATAATCTCGTGCCCAGGTCTCCAATCGACGGTACGAGATTATGGAACACAGTCTTTTTCCAACGCCGAGGCAATGAACCAAAACCTTGTCAAACGTTGTTTTCTTGAGTCATTCGGGAGGTTAAGCAACCACAACGCCTGTGGCAGTTTTACCGTCACTTAAAAAATTGAATGTGCCTTCTTTTAAACTTTATTACGTTTATTTAGTCCCTTTCAATCATTCAATTATTGGAGTATCAAGAGTAGCATGAGAAAACAGCTAACGTCTCACGACGCCACCACTGGTTTTCCCGCGAAATGACGTCTGAGAAACTGAACGAGCGCAGAAATTCCGTACCCAGACCTGGTTAGTGCTTCTGATTGGATGAAGCGAATTTCCAACCAATCAGAAGCATTACCCAGATTCTTGATGATCGTAAAACACGTTTTTTTTTTTCATGATCAGGTGGCTTTGCGAGGGGACTACAAAAAAGATGTTGAAGATGTCAAAGAAACAGCGATAAAAATGCTATCACGAGAATACAGTAACCAGGATAAAGAGTTCCGCTTGATCAATGGCTACAGACGAGTAGACCCCAGGCGAGGAGCGGAGTATATCTTAGATATCGGAATTAAAGCATCTCCGGGCAGTAAGCAGGAAATTATCAGGTATTATTTCTAGTTCTCTATGTTGCTTACCTTACCACTTCCTAGAATTGAAGTTGAAATATAACTATCGTTAAGGAAAAGAGAGCTTTAGCAACGACGTCGTTGACAGCAACGAGAACGGCCAAAAAAAAAAAACAGTAAGGTTAGATTAGCAAAGCAACAACTTTTTACGCGCATCACGCTTTTTCTTTTTTCTTTTCGGCGTACATTTCTTTGCCGTGAAACGTCCTAAGTTTACGTTTTATGAAGTACGTGAACACGAGACAACGATTTAATTGTCCTTTTTCTGAAGCCAGATACAGTCATTTAGAATTCAACTCTAGAAAAATTGGCCACGTTAATTTTCACAAATTGAACGATGGAATAAGAGCGAAAAAGTTTGAAGCAGCGCGAATTCACTTTTTGCGCGACCTTTTCACTGCCCTCGCCGCGTCATTGATGCTAAAGCTCCCTATTCTATATAAGACAAGGACGACTGCGAGAACGAGATTTTTTCAATACTAAGTAGTACGCGCGCGTGAAGAGGCGTCATTTTGGCGGGAAAACGTAATAGCCTTCATTCTACTGCGGCGGGTTTTAAGGCTGAATGTCGTAGTGCCGGAACAAGTTAACAAATCGTTGAAAATCCATCATTTTGCAATCGGGGGAGGGCTTAAACTCCTCAGTAAAAATACCTGTCTGAGCTTTCCTGGTGAAAAAAGGAAAATGAAGCTTTTCGGGGTGTCTTTTTTGTTACAAAAAACCGTCGCCCTCGAATCTAACGGTGTCTGTCACATAAAACCACTGCACGGCCACGTTAATCACCAATAACCTAGCTTCATACAATTCCTCCCTCTATGATACTGACACCTGTCTATTAACCCTTTAAGCCCCAATATCAACATACAAATTCTCCTGACTGATCGCCATACATTTCCTTCAAGAATTAGTTGAGAGAATTTGGTAGAAGATCATGGCATTTTCTATTTGGTGATCATTTTATTAATTCTCATAATTTTATCTCTTGACAATGTATGGCTTCTGTTAGGAGAAAATTGTTGTTGGTCACTATTAGCACTTAAAGGGTTAAGGGCACTTCTCTAGGTCCTACAGATGGCATACCACAATCTCCACCTCTGCAATATGGACATCTTAAGCGCAGCCGTTCTAGTTTTGGGTCATCAAGCAACGCTCTCAGTGTTGTGTGACGGCAAAAAGAACTGCTGCGTGGGAAATCCATTACGCTGTCAGTATTAACTAGGTTTGTCTGTATTATAGGTTTGCAACCACGTGACAAGGCGGCCATGTTTGTGGCAGGAGCCCATAATTGGGAGCGTGCAACTCCCATAATTAGCCTATGCAATGGCGTTTCCACAGATCAAGTTATTTTTACATCATTATGCGTGCGTGTCTTGTACGATTATTACAAAAAGATGAAGTAAATGGTATCAAAACATCAGAAACACTATTTTCAAGTCTCCGGGTTTTGATGACGGACTTGTAAGACTAATTCGAAATTCAAAATTGGCTAGGAAATCGATCTAGAAGTAAACTGGTCTGAGGAAACGCCGTTGTATGGGTACAACTCGCTTCGGGTTACAGGCTCCTCTTGGTAGTCAATACATTACAATAAACACTTTTTTGTAGAAGATACATGTAAATGGAGTTTAGTTCCCCGCGGAAAGAAATGCTTTTGTTCTTGACCATCAACATGGCCGCCGTAACGTCACTAGCGACCAAGTAATTTATTTGATTACTGTTTGTTTCAGACGTGTTCATCTTTTGAGGCCATACACCAAAGTAGAAAGCATTCAAATGCCGACTGCAATAGAACAGCGTGGAATTCATCTTGTTCTTCCAGTCAAGAAAAACCAAACCAAGCAACTCGAGGAATTTCTTCAGATGTATCAAAAAATCTGTCTGCAAACTGGCGAGAACGTGGTTTTGCTAACGGTGTTTGTTAATGTTCGAGAAGGTTCCGACGAGAATAATGGAGAAATATTTGCTGAAGGGAAAGCTCTTATTGCGCGGTAAGTCAAATCACTTGAAGAAGTTTTTCCAAATTTTTGATCGTTCTCGAGATCGTTGCGCCATCTCCAACTGCATACGGTCTATAGTTTGCTCATGTGCAGTACAGAAAAGTTGTTTTACCTTTTTAGGCTCCATTTGTATATAGAAAAGTTGTTATGGTAGAAGGTCACCGGCCCACCCGAGCTACCCTGAATAAGCCAATTTTTATACTTTTCCTGAAAAGCGTGGGAACCGTTTACACGAGCTACTTACATTCCGCGTCACCATTCTGTTATGATAGGGTCACCCTCCAAGCCAGGCCAACTTTTCTCTGTATAAACACTTTGGTCATGGCGAGACAATCAGAGCATGCGCACGGGCTGTTATCAGTCACGGGCAAATGGGTCACACGGGCTCAAGATGACTTGGCTGGGAGGGTGACCCTTGTATCCAGGACAATCATCTGTTCATGCGCAATTCAGGCCGCGTCCCCAAATATTTCGATCAATGAATGAAAGATGTTGTGGCTGTGGTGTTAGCGACCATTTAAAATCGTCGCTCAAATGGAAACCAGCCTTTTTATACGGAGCGGAAGTGTCCAAGTCAAATAAAAAACGTCCTTTCCTTTAGAGTACTTATACATTCGTTTTAATGTGCTTTGTAACCAGGTACAAACAGAAGTACACGTGGGCTCAGTTACCATGGATACAGATTGGAGTGAAACAGCACTCACTTACACTACTGATGGATATAGTGACCATGAAGCTTCCGGCCAACGCCCTTATCTTTCTAACTTCTCTCGGCGTGGAGTTCAACGTCAATTTTCTTAACCGATGTCGCGTGAATGCACTCAGCGGAGAGCAGGTAAGGAACAGAAAACTCAGTTACAATAAGAATAGAGAGCTTTAGATCCTGAGACAAGGACGACTACGACTACGAAATGTTCTCAATACTAAGTAGTGCTCGCGCGTGAAGCAACGTCATTTTGGTGGGAAAAGGTGATATCCGTCGTCATTCTACTACGAGTATTAGTGAGAATGGCTTAATAGCGGGAACAAGTTATCAAATTTTAGAAGTTTAATTATTTTGCGACCGGGAAAGGGCTAAACCTTCTCCAATAAAAATAACCGCCCCAATTTTTGAGGTGAAAAATAGTAGAATGAAACTTTCCGGATTGAATATTTCTCGAGCATAAACTAAAGCTCTCTAATAAAGACAAGTTTAACAAATAAAGCAAAAAGCCTTGGTGTTGGTTAACTTCGGAAATATTTAGGGTACACGAAGTTTTGAGATTACTGAGCTGCACTCTCCCTAGTTATAAAATATAAAGAGCGGAAGTTGCAGACTAGGGCTGTACATGTATATTAAAAGTTTTAAATTGCGAGTCTCAAAAATTAGAGCTTATTAATCGCGATAATGAAAAATTGCATTTCTTTGTTATCCAGGATGGGTCTAGAAAAGTGAGCTATTCAATTTTTAGAGCGAACAATTAAAAGTTTTATTACCACTGTCACATCAAACAGAGACTGGAGAGTATGGATGAAAACGTTTCCTTCTTCGACGCCACCGGGGTGTTTGGAATTGGAACGGGTGTTGTTAAAACAATGCTAAGGTTGAATAAGTTTACCTGAGTGTGCCATGAATACCTTTGAGCTCGATTTAGGTCTCTTGTTAGTAGATCTCTTGTTACTGCGGCAGGATCAGCTCAGTCGGTAGAGCGCTTGAATGCGGAGCGGGAGGTCGCGGGTTCAATTCAAGGTGCAGGATCAATGCTCAGGGTCTTAAAATAACTGAGAAATGAAGATACTCGCTTTACCCTGCAAACGGCTCGGAGTTCTTCGCGTGGCTCTGATGACCACGTAAAATGGCGGTCCTGTCTCCAGTAGGAGATGTAACAATATAGGGTCCCCAATTAGTACTTTCATGCTAAATACATTGACACTCAAACAAATTAGCGTTTTGTAGTGTTTGAACTGTTAGATATGTTTCTCATCGATCTCTTTTTCTGTGTCTTGACTCCTGTAGGTGTTCTTTCCTGTGCCTTACGCTTACTACGATCCCAACATTGTCTACCGCCAAACCAAGATCCCGGATGTTGTTCCCATTCACAAAGACACGGGGCACTGGGACCAAGGCGAGAGACAAATGGCTTGTTTTGATAACAAGGACTATAAGGATATGAGAATGAACAGTGATGACTTCTTAAAGGAGCAAGAATCGCAAGAAAGACCGTTGATGAAGGTAAAGTCATTTTTTTGGTCTGATATCAATTTATTTTATTTCTTGTTGGTTGGTTCCGCCCATTACTCGGAGCATTTGTAACCAATGAATGAGAACTGGCCGCCTAGACTGGAGAGGTTTCTCGAAATTTTCGCTTAGTCCTAGCACTGCCGTGCATACTATTGAGGAGTAGAGGAGTAAGCTGATCTTGGGTGTTCGTCCTTATTCCTCCTTCGAATAACAATAACAATAACAATAACATTTATTATTTGTAGTGCCTTTTCTATAAAATATTTAAAAGCGGCAGACAACCGGTCCCAAATGTCAAATGTAAACACAATGAGTTTACTACAAAACAGTGAATATTCGTCAAATATAACTATTTTTCAAAAGCTCCAAACTTAACGATGATAGACGAGGAGAAATATTAACAATGCAAGGCTTTCTTTCAACAACAATTATCATGTTAAAAACGTATTTCAACATCCAACATAAGTGGCTGAAAACGCAATTTGCAAGCTTAAATGATTACCGTTCTATGATGACGTGATGATCAATGTGTTTTACTTTCGAACGCATTGCAAGACGAATCTCCCCATGTATATTGATGATCTCTTTATGACGAGCAAATCTGCACGGTAGCGAGACGAGCCGTATCCATATAACTTTGAAAGCTTTGAAACTGATTTTATTAATTCTTATATATAAATAAATAAATAAATAAATAAATCTTATATGTCAATAAAACTTTGTAATTTTAGGGTAGGTAGTTTAGTACAGGGCCACTAGTTTACTGATTTAGTAAGTTGGTTAAACCCGCTGTTTCTTCACATGCTCTCCGTTCTTTATTTTAAAGGTATTTGCGGCGAGCCCCTTACATGTTTTCCAAGCAGTCGACATTGATTTACGCAAGCGGTACCAAACAGTCACGTGTGACCCACACCTGAACGAGGACGAGTATAACAAGTGCCTCGCTTTCAAAGCAGAAGGGATGGCTTCTCGTTCCCAGCTTGCCCTTCTCATGTTCGAGATGGAACAGAAGAGTCGGGGGAATGAGGCGACAGAAGTGCATCAATTACTTTAGTTATTGTAGTTCCCTAGAAATAGACGCAGATTTCTTTAATTCTAACTAAAGTATGTGATAGCTTTCTAACCACACTAGAAAAAGCTTTTATTACATTTAATTGTGGAAATTCTTATTAACCGCAGATCATCTAGGTCGTCTTTGGTCATGTTTTAGTAAATACCCCGCGATTGCTTAAAAATGATATCTTTCAGTGGGGTGGTTAACCTATAACCTGTATGCATGTATTAGTTTCTATTTTCATACATTTGAACTATCTTTTATGGTACCTTTAGCTACTTTTTCTCAGCGAATATCCGTTATTAATCGTTTAACTCCATTTAACTGTCCTTGTGTGGCTATATTTAACAAAGGTGTTTCAAACTATGCCTCCAACTATTTATAAAGAGCAGATGCTGAATCGCCGGGTTGAAAGCTTGCATGCAGTGCATCTGTAAGTAACAACATCGCGTGTTTCTACCTGTGTACTTTGCGGAACGCGCGCCTTTTGTGTTACTTTCTAGCTAGCACACCGTTCTGCCCACATTTCTTGTTCAGTGCACAGTGATCAGCAAACCTCAGGAGTTTGTCCATTTTGTTTTTCAATGTTTGCGTTTGTTAATAGACACGGTACGGAGTAAACTGATTGTTTCAAAAAGCTTACCTGGTTATGTATCGGTCAAATCGAAGCTTCAACATGCCCCCCCCGGGCATACCCCGGGCATTTGACACTTTTGCCGTCCCGGGGAGGAGGGAATTTGATCACCAGGGCCTTCCAGGGAGTGGGGAATTTGATCCCCATGCTTTAGGGGTGGGGAATTTGAACTACACCCTCGATTTCATGTAAAATCTTTGGCGTGGCAAGCTATCATGGGGGACGCGGTGTTAGAGGATTTTCGTGGAAAAGATTTTGCCTTTGTGGCCAATGGGTTACGAGGAAAGGACTTAAACAAGCTTTGTGCCGTATTTGAAGTATGTAAATTTTAAAATTTTTAACATTGGATTCAGGCTTTGGATTCAATACAACAACATAAAATAAAATAAAATAAAACGGTCAACTACTTTGACCTACTGCAAGTATGTTAATTAATAAGGTGAGCGATGATCCTTGTCAGTGAAATGCTCATGATGTAGTAATCTCAATAGGTGGGATCTTTTTTTATAGAACGCTTTGTATGTTGCATGACGAAGAAAAGCTGTGCATTCAGTGACCGTGTAGCAGCGATTTCCGCCGCTTTGCACGAGACTTTTGTTCGTAGTAAATACGCTAACAGTGTTGCTCAGTTTTTGTTATATTTATAAAGATTTTGTTCGACAACTGAAGGCGTTTCCGCTGTCCTTCTGTCATTTTTGTGCCTGTGAAATGTCCCCGGGGTGGGGGCGTTTGATCACCTGAATGGACCCTAGTGTGGGGCATTTGAACGGAATTTTGGCCCCGATAGGGGGGAATTTGAACAATAATTTTCAAAAAAGTCAAATGCCCGGGGGGTTGCCCGGGGGGGCATGTTGAAGCTTCGATTTGACCGATATATTACTGACAACAAGATTGACAAGCTCCTGAGTGTAAATTCCAAAAACTGCGGACCAACTTAACAGCATGGGAATCCAAGACAGCCTTGGATTCTGGATTCCGCACGGCGTGGTTTCCGGATTCCAATCATTAATGGGGTTCCGGATTGCTTGAGCTGTCTTCCGGATTCCAGAGCCCTGGATACCACAAGCAAAAATTGGCCGGATTCCGGAATCCGAATTCCCTTGCATAGTGCGAGTAATAATAATAATGATAATAATAATAATAATAATAATAATAATGTTAATAATAATAATGATAATAATAATAATAATAATAATAATAATGTTAATAATAATAATAATAATAACAATAATAATAGTAATAATAATGATAATGATAATGATAATAATAATTCTGTTATTTACCATCAACAGTATTTATAGCACTAATGCTTGTTGTCCAGCAAATGGGGCGAAGCATGACCCGGGCATTATCCACCCACACCCACATTACTGCAACTGAGTAAATTTCTGCGTGGCTTGCTGTGTAAATAGGTCTAATTTCCGTGCGTGTAGTTCGTAAGATGCTGTATTATCTCAAGGAAATCTTTTGACGTTATTTGATGTTATTTATTAGGTCATTTTGTCCGTCTCGACGCTGAAAAAAATATCTTTTGGTGTATTTTAACCACAAGGAATATTGTGCACTTCCTTTAAATATAAGGTTGAGGCAATGAGGGGAAATTCTTTAGGGGAAGAAACCTAGTTTTATACAAATTCCAAATAAAGAGTTCATTTACAGACGAACTAGACTTATTGTCAGTTGAAATTCTCGTACGTTACTTTCTTGACCTCAGTGAGGCCTTTTTTGAGGGACTGAGGCGGAGAACAGGCTCCTTAGGTAGAGAATAAGGCCAAAAATAAGTGCGAGAGGCGAGCCAAAGGCATCATCAGAGACAACGGGGCTTCTCATTCACTGGACGAAAAAATGGATTTGCACAAATTTGCTTTCGGCAAAGATGTCGCAAAATTGTAAAAACTGAGGAGTAAAGATGGATAATGCCACATCAAAGTCACGTGATCCTTAATTAGCCAATGACAGTCGGAGTTATATCTAGGGGAAAATGCAGCCAAATAACGACGTTGACGACGGAAGTGAAAAAGTCGCAAAAAAAAGATATAATTTACGTCCTTTCAAACTTCCTCGAGTCTATTTGGACCTGCTCAGTTTGTAAAATGGAGGCTACTTTTTCTGGAGTAGAATTCTTAAGGACTTTATCCAGGTTCAAAGAGAGGAATAGCCTGTTCCAGGTTCTCAGATGGTGGGGAAGACGCGAAAGTAAAAGGCACGCGAAAAGTTGCCGTCCTTGCTCTCCCCAGTTTCGTCCTGTTTTATTTTCGTCTTAGCGATTTCTCAATTCTGCGGGCCCAACTATCTCGGAGCCTGGAACAGGCTAAAAGAGGAAGGAAAAGTCACCGACGTATGTTCACGTCCCGCCCATGAGGTTTCACGTCGTAGTCGTCCAGTGGAAAACATAAAAGAAATGTACTAAAAAGCGTGATGCACGTGTATAGCTGCTGTTTCGCTCATAAAAGCAATTGTTATACTCTTTCAATGTTCAGAGGTTTTACTTTATTAGCTTCATCAGATAATGATAAGCATATGAGGCAAAAAATGTCAACAAAGTAACCGAGAGACCAAGTGGTCGAGGTTGCCTTGTTTTGGTAGTGCAGTACAAAATGACGGAACCTTTCACACGTTTCGCCTGGAAATAGGCGAACTACTGCCTAAAAACACAGCAAGAACAGCAAAAATACAACTCGAAGGACAACATCTGCTATTTGGAGCTGAATATCTGCAGAACTGAACATCCCTTTACCCCTCGGAACTTGCCGAGAAACAGGCAATTGAAGACTAGCCTGCTTAGCAAGCGTTTCCGTTTGGTTTCAGAGCAAAGAAAGACTGAGGAACGGGATTTTCGGTTTTGGCCTCGTTCTTTGCTCCGAAACCGCACGGAAACGCGTGCTACGCAGGCTAATTGAAGACGGGATTTAACATCGATCGAGGTAAGCATATTTTAGCTTGTCCTTAACCTAGGAATTATTTTGAATGAATGATAAAACAATTATTGGATTCGGCTTTCGTATGATCTAAAGAATTTTTAAGATCTCGGAGTATGTTATCGGGCCTCGGCGGATATCACCGTTCTCGATATCCATACTTCTTCAGATCACAAGAAGCCTCCTTCAAAAACTTTCAATTGTTTTTTGACGTTGTAGTTGACGTCATCGTCGTGGTTGCTTAGAAACAGACTGACACAAAACAACTACAAAAGGCAAACATTTTATTTTTTGAGCAAGCCTACAAGAGTAAAAATTTCATACAAAAATGTTAAGTTCAAAACTTCATTGCTCTTCCTCGCGAGGTACGGTTTCTAATTGGTTTAAATACGTGTTGTCGGAAGACTTGTCAATCGTGTTTCTTATTTACAGCTCTGACAGGTTTTGTAGATTGTCTAACGTCACTGGTACAAACTAAATATAGATTTATTCTGGTACAAAAATTCAAACTGCGACTTGCGTTAACGAGAAACTTCCCACCCCTCCCCTGAAATAAAACTATGACACGACTGCGTGTTGATGTTTAAACTGCAGAACGTTGACTGGAGTTGTGCGAAAGAAAAAGCATTTAGACTTGTCCTTCAAGGCAGTGATTATTCGTACATCATCCGTGGTGATCTGTGGAAGATAAGAATTTGATAAGTCAAAATGATTTGTGAACGAAACTAAGAACGAAGCAAGAGAACAAGCTCCAGTTGGATGGCGCTATCCACCGGATATATCTCTATTCAGTGGATAGCGCAATTTGTTTCCCTAATCCGTAACTACTGGATAGTGATTTATCCGATGGATAGCGCCATCCACCTTTTGAACACTGGAACAACAACAGTCACATTGAAAAATAGTCCATAAAAACTCTACCGTAAAGCAGTAATAACTCATTACAACAATGGACATCACATGAAAAAAAGAATTCCAGTGCTGCGCTAGTGGCAGCGGAGTCAATTAATGAAACGAAAGTTTTATGGGATGTTTATAGACAATGCAGTCCTTTATTACCCTTTAGAGCTAGCGGAACAAGCAAGCGCGCATGAAAAGTGCCACCCGCGCGAAAAAGAGAGTGTGGTATCTCGTATCTCCTCTCGGCAAACAATCACCGACGAGTAGTCTCTAGAAAGAGCAGTTTTTAAGTTCAAACCAGTCACTATGACCAATCAGAAAACGAGCGCAAAGTCTAATGAACCAATAATAACGCCTCCCACCCCCCAGNGTCACTGGTACAAACTAAATATAGATTTATTCTGGTACAAAAATTCAAACTGCGACTTGCGTTAACGAGAAACTTCCCACCCCTCCCCTGAAATAAAACTATGACACGACTGCGTGTTGATGTTTAAACTGCAGAACGTTGACTGGAGTTGTGCGAAAGAAAAAGCATTTAGACTTGT